TCAGTGCAAGTCATAGCAAGTGCTTGAGTATCCTTAGCATACCATTACGCTTTGATTGGTCAAATGGACGACTGGACAACTGGACACTTGGCATATTGGGCTTTTATTATATAGGATATAAAAGCCTAAGCAACCGAGCAGTAGCTATGATGCACATTGACCACCAGAGGGCAGGTGCTCAATGCAGGAGTGGAAACATGGAAACATGGAACAGACTGATGAATCTCAGAGGGAAGTGGGGAAAGAGGAGAGCAGGAAGAGATTACTCGAAGATCTTATATGCATACTAGAGGCCCAGTGCAGAAATTCATGCACCAGTGGGGTCCCTTGGCCTGGCCTATGGGGATCAGGCTGAAATTCCCAAGGAGTCCCAGATGTGTAAGAGGGCACAGGCCAGCCTGAGGAACCCCACCAGTGCACAAATCTGTCCACCAGGCCTCTAGTACTTTACATAATTCTTATCAAGATGGTATGTGATAACAGGGTCATGTGCACAGCTCTGGCCAGGTGCACAGTGGGCACTCAGTCACCCCCCACCCTACATGAGCTGTTGCCTGCACATGGCACCTACATACTCGATAAGATGGCATAGAGCTGCCTTCCTCACTCACAGGCAGCTGAGACCTTGCAGGTTTGTGGAACTCAATGTCAGATGGAGTCATAACCTTGACTGGGGAGAGCCCTGAGCTCACCCACAGCAGGATACCATGTTATCTTTTGTTGGGCTCCAGAAACAGGTTACTCAAGTGGAAGTGTCTTTCCTTTGTGGTGAGGGCTGATGAGTTATCAGCAGCTTCAGTTGTCAGCACTATCCTATATAGTAAAAGGCTAATATGCAAATAAACCAAATGGTGGAACAACCATTTACTATGACACACACTGACCACCAGGGGGCAGACACTCAACTCACGAGCTGCCCCCTAATGATCAGTGAACGCCCACAGGGAGTTCCCCTTAACCAGAAGCTGGGCTCATAGCTGGTGAGCACAGCAGTGGTGTCAGGAGCCTTTTCTGCCTCCGCTGTAGGTGGGCAGTAAGGAACAAGGAGTCCCGGACTGCAAGAGGAATGTCTAACTGCCAACTTAGGCTTGGCAACACCCCCCACCCCCCAGGGCATGAGTTTTGTGCACTGGTCCTCTAGTAACATATAAGCTACAGGTTCCTTGAAATTTGCAGGTGACTGGAACCAACCTTTTCTCAAGTTTGCATAATCTAATTGGGGCTCAGCTAGTAAACCACTCAGGTTGTGGACAAGCGTTTCAGGTGCCCTCTGATGTATTTCATGATGCTCCTGAAATATATGTTGATAAATTTACCTCAAAAAGAAAACTTTGAGCCAAGTGTTTTGGGACCTTGAGGAATAAAAGGTAACCATCCCACACTTGTTGCTTGTTGGTTTTTGTTTTGTGTTGTGTGTGTGTGTTTTGTTGTTTTTTTTTTGGGGGGGGGTGTTTTTGTTTTTGTTTTGGTGTGTGTTTTTAATGTATTTTTATTGATTTCAGAGATATTTCAGGGAGAGAGAGATGGAAACATCAATGATAAGAGAGAACATTTGATTACCCCCCTTCCCACCGGAATTGAGGCCCCGACCCTGGCATATGCCCTAACTGGGAATCTAACTGTTACCTCCTGGTTCATAGATCAATGCTCAGCCACTGAGCCATGCCAGCTGGGCAATGTTTTTATATTGAATTTAAGTCCTTGGCAGGGCAACTTGGCTGAGATAAGAACCAGAACCCAATAGTGATCACAAAGGGCAACAACAAATTTTGGATAGAACAGAAAATAATCTTGAAATTATTTTTATAATAAGAAGGCAAGAGTGATTGGGGAAGGGAGGAAAGAGGAAGAAAGGAAAGGGAGAAGAATACTTTATCCTGGTCCTTGTTTGGACTATTCTTGTCTGAGTCTACAGTGGAACAATTGTAGGCCTTTTCATGGACATCATATTAGGACAGACTTTTCTTCCTGACTTGTTTCTGGGGTCAAAGAGGCAGCAGTTTACTTTCCGCCATCAGGTTGGGGGCTGGCTTCCCCAAATCAATCCTTGGAAGCCCAGGACACCCTGCACCCACAGAGGGAGAGTCCACAGCGCTGGGCGTTGCCTTGTTTCCTGATGGCCACCACACGTGCCAATAGTGTATGTGGGATGGTGGGGTGGTGGGTGCTGCTACTGATTGAGGGCAGAGGCCAGGACAGCTCGGGGCAGCAGCCCAGCTCTCACCAGCGCCGAGGACAGCCACACCAGCCCCCAAATGAAGACACTTACTGTTGCAGGGGCTGCACCCAGGACAAGAAACCGAGGCCTGTGGTCCCCATGGTGCCAGGGGAAAGGAAAAGGGGCCTTTGTGATTTTCGCTTTGCCACACACACACACACACACACACACACACACACACAAAATGTGATTAAATGGGATCCTTCAGTTCTGAATGCAGATGGGGCCTTGGTGGACTAGGCAGACAATCAGGCGAGACGCTGAGCCCAGAAAGCCAAAAGGGGGTAGAAACCCAGACAATGGTGCTGGGGGCCGGGGTGGGTGGAGGGGGAGCGGGTATGACAGCGAGAAAGGAGTTTCAGTGTGAATGAATACTAATTAGTGACATGGATATTAATGATGACAGTAATTAACAGGGGAAAGGAAGGGCTGTCATTGTCCCAGGGTGAGTAATCAGTCTTGGCAGGTGATAAATAATGGTTCCGCCAGCTCAGCAGAAAGATAATCCGCCTGCCCCGGGGAGAGCTGTTGCTGATGCTGGAAACCTCTCCGTTTCCAGGCAACCCGCAAAAAAGGACTATTTTTCTTTTGAGGGGAAAAACAGGTTAGCGTCTCTCCCCCCACCCCCAACTTGGGATTACAGTCCTTATTTGATTTCTGCTTTGTTCTTCATTTCCTAGGACAAATGTTGAACTTGTATAATTTGGAGGAAATGGACCCGCATGCACAAGCACACACAGACATCCTCTGCCTTTCTCTCCAAGAATGTGAATGAGCAGGGGTGCTTTGGATCCAAAGTTTAGCTCATAGATGCCAGCCGGAAGCGAGAAGAGGGGAAAGCTCAGAAGTCTTGCTTTTGAGGTTGATATGTGGGAGGCCTGCAGCGGTGGAGACTGGTAGTGGGGCAAAAAGGGGAGAACATACAGAAAGAGTAGGATGGACCCCTGCCTGATTACCCTGTAGAGTTCATCGACCTTCCAGAGAGCCAGAGAAAAGCAAAATGTCTAGGCACTCAGGCCAGAACTACCGTGTTTCCCTGAAAATAAGGCATCCTCTGAAAATAAGACCTAGCGCATGGAAAGATAAGACATCCCCTGAAAATAAGACCTAGCGCAACTTTGGGAGAAAAAATTAATATAAGACTGTCTTATTTTCGGGGAAACAGGGTAGTCTCCCCACTGGCAACCAAATTTCTGGAAACCTGGTTTCTGGTAAAGGACAACAGTTAAACCCATCTGCACGCTCTCCAGTCTCTCAGGCAGGAATCTGTCCCAGGCAGCTTGTCCACAGGCCCGCTCCCTCCCACCAAGCCTCACACCCCTGCCAGGACTTAGCTATCTGGAAATGCTCCCCTTTCACGCTATTTTCTGCCATGCATCCATCCTGGAATGACAAGGCCACCTTCGAAGGTCGGCACTGGTTTAAAGTGAGATTTGGAGTGAATTGATCAGAAGTTCAGAATCCTCTGAAAACAACTCCTCCACCCCGATGGGAACTGGGCTGCCCTAGGAAATGTTGGTTCTAGAAGCCACATTTCCACATGGAGGTAGACAAAAGGGAATTCATTGTGAACAAAATGGCGAGAGACCAGGCATGGCTCACAAGGGGGGTTGGCACTCAAGAAGACGCTGATAGTATGTCAGTTGAACTGCCCCAATGTCTGAAGACCTGTCCCACAGAGTGAGAAGGTCTGGGTTTGTTTTTCTAGCGTTAGAATGCAAAACTAAGACCAAAGAGAGCAAGCCCCAGAGTTAAGTCCAGTTTCTGCTCCTAGAAATCAAAGACGATTCCACTGGGACAGGCTGGCTAGGAGGGGATCTGTGAGTTCTGAGGTTCTGGGGTTTTTCTAAATGGAGATTGCGGCACCTCTTGTCCGAGGTGTTACAGGTGGGGACTCATGTATTGGCTGGAGTTGGAGCAAGTAAGTTTTAAACGTCCCTTCTGACTCATAAGATTTTAAATTAGTTAGGATAATACCAGATGCCTAACCAGGTAAGCCCCCAATTTCTGGGGCTTAACATGACACACTTTCAATCAGGTCAGAGCCCCACATGGGCATCAGTTTTCATGGTTGTTCAGAAGCCCAGGCTCCTTCCACATTGTGGCTCTGCCCACCCTGGGCCCTTGAAGTCCTCTCCATTCAGCCAGCAGGTGGTGGATAGAGGGGTCAGGGCCATGTGGGAGTTTTCAAGGCCTGTGTCCAGAGGCAGCATTCATCATGCCCCCTGTCAGAACTCAGTCCACACCAAACTGCAGGAGCGTCAGGAAATGTCCCCTGGCCCAGGGGACAGGTGAATACAGAGAAGTTTCTCCCGCAGACTGACATAGGGCTACTTTCTTTCAGGGTGGGCCCATGCCAGAAGAAAGTAGAGACATTTTCAGGAACCTTTTCATCCCTTGACAGTAAGAGTAGGGAACGGAGGAGACCGCTCTCCATAAGAAACGGTCTGCAGGCCGGGCATGGTTAAATTTCATCAGCCCGCCTTGGAGAAGTCATCCAAATCTGTATGCGCAGGCTGTTCCCTACAGATGCTCCCCAGAAGTGTGTGCACACAAGATCCTTCGGCATCATCAGAAGTGGATGGTTTCTGGAAAAGAATGGGATTATAACTGTGGAAGTGAACCAATGGGTAGAGTTTGTTAAGATGGAAAAGCATCAGTATCACCCAGATCTCTAGGTGTGTGCTCATTCGAATGAGGATTCTGTTAAGTAAACATGCTTCTGCTGCCACCGGGCTTACCACTCACCCAGGTCTTTAGGTGAATTGCTTTGTCGTTGCAGGTACTGACATTGTGCAGTGGCTGATGAAGAACCTGTCCATTGAAGACCCAGGTACGTGACCTTTGACCCTGACTTTATCCCTCATGGTCTCAATAAACATCCCACATAACTAAGTTCCAGTCTAGACCTCCTACCCTCCCGAGAACTGGGCTTAGAGGTGAATCCCAAGATGTGGAACCTCTTTACTTACAAATGAAATGGATTCATTTTCTCCACCGAATATCTTACCTTTAAATTTAAATCACCCTTTGAGGAAATGAGTAACCACTGAGAATGCCAAAGAGCCCAATACAGTAACGTGTGAAATGAGTTGAATTCTCATTAGCCACAGCAATTAAAGATAAGTTGTAGCGCTGTCACTGAGCAGCCTTCCAGACCCGGATCTTAAAATTAGATTGCCTGATTCACAATTAAGATGTTTAATTATTTGCTAAGATGCCTTCTGTTTTCTTCTTCTGTAAGAAGGGAAGGAATTTTTTTTTCAACTTTAATTGTGCATTTCAATTAGGAAAACCTTACCAGAAAGACAATAACAAAACTCTGCCCAATAAAAACAGTTTCCAAATCTGTCCTCCCACCAGTAAATAAGCGGTAAAATTTATTTTCACGGCATAATTAAAAAATGGGGAGTTCCGGAAAAATGAAAATTCTAGATAAGTATAGCTTATTACCATGTGTTGTTAGTTAATACTTTTTCTGAATTTATTATTCACTCCCTGTCTTAACTTAGTATTCCTGATGCCTATATTTCTTATGTAAAAATGCCCATACATGTATTCTGATATTAATTAGACCTCTTTGCCCCAAATTAAGTGGCCTCCAATTACTATATTTTTTAAAATATATTTTTATTGATTTCAGAGAGGAAGGGAGAAGGAAAGAGAAATAGAAACATCAATGATGATTAGCTGCCTCCTGCATGTCCCCTACTGAGTACTGAGCCTACAACCCAGGCATGTACCCTGACTGGGAATCCAACAATGTCTCCCCAGTTCATATGTCGACACTCAACCACTGAGCCAGGCTGGCCGGACAATTGCTATGCTTTTTAAAGATCTTTTTTCAAGTTCCCTTTCTAGCTGTCTGATCTTCAGCTGTGGTTCTTAGCTGGGGTCAGTATGTCAGCTCGGGCATTCCTGTATTTTAATCTGATGCTCCTAATATACTATGGACTAAAAAACAATATAATTTACATAGTGTTTGATTAAATATTGTTGCCAGAAGCCTGAGTGCCTGAAAAGCAGGCCATTAATGAAGTGACCGTAGCCTTTTCCACCACCTTGATTAATGGTCACTCTCATGACTCATGAAAATTCTTAATTCTAGTCAAGTTCTTTATCCACAGGGGAAAACAATACCTGCCAATCCTTTTCAGAAAATAGCCTGAATCAACTGGCTATTGTGTTTTCCCTACGCAGCCTGGACTTCTGATTGTCCACTTACAGACGCTAGACCGAATAAGTGTCTCCCAGCGTAGTTACATGTATTTAAAGTCAGCATTTCTTTTGATGATGATGCTAAACTAAGGGCTACCTTTCTTCACGGTGGTCTCTTCCAAGAGCACTGTTTTCCTCGCCCTTCTACAATAATAATTGTGTCACCGAAATATTTTATCAGTATTGTTGTTAGTAGTTGTAGTGGTAATAGTAGTGGTGATGGTAGTAGTAGTAGTATAGTAATAGTAATAGTAGTGGTTAGTAGTAGTAGCAGTATTGGTAGTAGTAATAGTAGTAGTGGTGGTGATGGTGGCAATAACTAAAAGTAATGGTAGTGGGTAGTGGTAGTAGTAACAGTAGTAGTGGTGGTGGTAGTGGAAGTGATGATAGTGTAGTGGTGGTGGTGGTGGTGCTAGTAAGTAGTAATAGTAATAGTAGTGGTTAGTAGTAGTATGCTGAGAACCCTGAACCAGCTAATGTTGGGAGAGATGGTTAGGAATCCCCTTTGGCCCTAGTATGAGGAGCCTCAGTGAAAGGTGCACAATGACAAGGGTCATGTCTCTTACGGTCGGCTATACTCTGATGCCCTTAAGAGAACTTCCAGGTGTTGGGAACTGCCAGGCTTCTGAGCAGGAGGAGTTATGAGTTATTCACCAGCTGGGAATAGAAGGGTGGAAATGAGGCAAACTAAGGCCCTAGGAAGCCAGACATGTCTAGCCTCCATCCCTCTCTCCTTTCTATTCCCCGTCTGCCACATGTCTAAGCAAAAGCCCTTTTGCTCAAAGAATGAAGTGAGAGTTCTAGCTCTAAACTGGTGACATGAAAGTCGCCTTCTTAGTGGATTTTGTTCTTCCTTTCCTGGGCAAGGAGCAGCTATAGGTGATAAAACTCCCCTTTTTTGCTGGACCCATGATTCTTAAACCATATAGACTTTAGAAAGCAAACTGGTCAGCACCAAGCAGGTAAAATAAAATTTCATTTGCTCTAGTCCCACCAGTTTCGCGTGTACATTTCTTCTAAAGAGGGGAGAGGTGGTTCTTAGTAAACACAGCACCTGGGTTATACACAGCCTCTTGAAAAGCTGGCAAGTAAAGCCAAAACAAGTCACTTTTAAAAACTTATAAAGACATGCAAAATTAGTTCCTAGAAACCCCTTTTCATGTCAATAATTTACACATCTGAGGGGGATCTAGGTGGAAGAGGGCAAATGAGAAGCAAGAGGGGGGACACCTGTAATACTATCAACAATAAAGATATTTTTTAAAATAATAATAATTTCCACATCCGGAAATTTGATTTTACCAGTAAAAGTACTTTTATATGTGTGAAAAGTACTTTTATATTATTATGTGTGGTATAATCATTTCAATTCATTATTTTTCTTGGCTTTGCTCAGATAAATATAAGTTCTTTTTTTAAAATACATTTTTATTGATTTCGGAGAGAAAGGGAGAGGGAGAGAGAAACATGAGTGATGAGAGAGAATTATTGATCAGCTTCCTTCTGCATGCACCCCACACACACACACTGAGGAATTGAGTCCCAACCAAGACATGTGCCCTGACGGGGAATCAAACCATGACCTCCTGGTTCATAGTTTGACACTCAACCCCTGAGCCATGCCTGTTGGGCTAAATATAAATTCTTAATGATTTGTGTGAATCTAGTTATGGTTGGTGTTAAAGTAACAAAACAATGTGTTGATTGTGGCAAAAATATAATTTTGTTTTTACCAGATTGGCCTCCCTGTGCCATTGCTCACTGCACTACTCACCACAAAAGTGAGGCTTGCCTTTATGTCCCTAAGAGAAGGGGCTGTCACATCAGACAATGCAGTTTGAGGGCAGAGTCTCTGTGAGTGGCAAGGCTTCATGCTCACTGATGAGGATGATAAGAAATGAGAATATAATATGAATCAGGGCCAGCGGCTCTTACTGAGCACTGAACCTGCCCCAGACACTGCTACACACCTATGTGAACTATCACAGGTTTATCTACACCAGAGCTCATGCTCTTCAGCATGAGCACTTTCTTCTGGAAATCTTGGGGGGCTGGGGGAGGTTCAAATAATGTCAGACTCTCAGAGCTGGGATCCAGAGGAGTCCCAGACACTTGATATTGCTTCCCAACCATTGACACTCTCCCAGCCCCATGCAATCATATCATAAAGTTATTGATCGATCAATCAATCAGCCATGAGTTATCTAGGGGTGATGACAGTTGACTTCCGGTTGCCTTTCTGCACTCACAGCTTACATTTCATCCAAGTAGCCCTGCATTCTGACAGCTTCCTAATTACTTCTCTCTCTTGTGCCCTGTCCCTGCAGTTGAAGCAATACACTTGGGAAGCCTGATAGCTGCCCAGGGCTATGTCTTTCCCATCTCGGACCATGTTCTCTCCATGAAGGACGATGGCACCTTTTATCGGTTCCAGGTAGGCCTGCCAGCTCCTCCTCCTGAAGAGCCTTTTCTTCTCATCATCTTCTGATTGCAGAATCGAGACACGTGGAAAAACTGAGTGTGTTTAAGGGAGCAACGCTTACCTCCCACCAGCTTGGGAAAACCAAGCAAACTTCTGTCTGGGCCTTTTGTTGCTCCACCCAAATAATACAGAAAAGCCCTCATGGAGAACCTGTTTATTGGACATTTTATATATATTTCCTCATTTATTCTGAAGAACAAGTTTCTGGGGACAAATGTCACCCATTATACAGAGATCTGCTGTTTCCTCTTATAAGGGCACTAATCCTATGGGATCAGGGTCCCTCCCTTAAAGTCTCATTTTACCTCAATTACTTCCTTATTCCCAATTCAGCCACAGAGGGTTAGGACTTCATCATATGAACTTGAAGCGATTGGGGGGGGGGGGGGGCCGAGGAGAAGTGGGGGAGGAGGATAACACTACTCAGGAACTTGGGACTTAAACCCAGAAAACCATGCCATTCTATCTTCTGTGGTTAGACTTCTATTGTCTCAGGATAAGAAATGTTTGCCCTATAAACTAAGTTTCTCCTTTTCTCATTTATTTGTTTACCTGGATTCATTTCTCAGCACCTAAATTAAAGTGTTGACTGCCCTCAGCTGCACTAAGAACAGGAGAGGGTTGGGCTGTGGTGTCAGCACGAAGGAGACAGGAACAGAGCCGGTCCTAGGGAGGGGGTCCTCGCTGGGTTCAGGGAGGGTTGACCCTGACCCCTAGGCAGGGGAGGGCAAGTGCTTCTGAGTCCTGATACCACTGCTCTTTTGCAGGCTCCATACTTCTGGCCATCGAACTGCTGGGAACCTGAAAACACTGATTATGGTGAGCAGTGAAGGCACAGCCCATACTCGGTGTTACTGCTGGGAGCTCGAAGGCAAATGATCTGTGTTGGCAATAGAGGGCAGGGGAGGAGGTTCTTCACCTGCCTTAACCCTTTGTCATCCTGTTGACATGTAACAAACATCCTGTTCACACCATGGAGAAAGGCAGCGCACACAGAAAGATGCAGCTGTGGGAAGGAAATGGGGGATGGAAGAAGTCTATCAAGGGAGGCCAATAGGTTCATTCTTTGGGGCTGTGGAAAACCAGGATCCCACAGCAACTCTGTAGGACGGTGGCCATGACTGTTCCCTGGAGGACTACATCCAGGGGCCACCACCCCCTGACCCTTTCTATGTCACAAACTTGTTAACATTTATTTATAACTCCCTGGTGTTTTTGATAGTTGGAATTTATGGAGAAACTGAGAAATATCAGAGCAGGGATATACCGTATTTTTCGGACCATAAGACGCTCCGGACCATAAGACGCACCAGTTTTTAGAGAAGGGAAATGAAGAAAAAAAGATTCTGAAACAAATAGTGTCCTAAAATATTTTATGTGCATTAAAACCCAACATCACAGTCATAAACACATGTAATCAACCCTGTAAAGTAAACAGCAGCATTTAGAACCATTTTAGAGTCGGGCAAGCACACAGAGACCACACAGAGCCGGGCAAGTAAAAAAACTTTTTTTTTTAAGTATATGTGTAGGCTATGTTTGGACCATAAGACACAGGGACTTTTTCCCCCCACTTCTGGGGGGGAAAAAGTGCGTCTTATGGTCCGAAAAATACGGTACCAAAGTTTCCCTGGTCCAGAAAAATAATGAGTGGGTGAAGTTTCGAACTGGGTAAGCAGGGAGTTGCCTTTATAAAGGGAGGGATCTATTAGACTCTTGCCATATGGATGCTGTTTAGTATTTCTGTGTGCCAATCCTCTTAAGAAGTGATATTGTCCCTCTACTTCAGATAAAGAACCAGAGGCCACATCCTCACACTTAGCACAGTTTTCACAGTTTTCCACTTGTCTGGGAGCTCCAAGAGGCGGGGTTAGTCCGCCTTGTTCATTCTTAGACCCCCCAGTGCATACCTGAGGCATAGCTGGTGCTGAGTGTTTGCTCTTTATTAAAGGCACTTAGCAGACACTCAGTGGAGGCAGCAGAATTTTAACTCAGATCTGAGTGGCTCCAAAGCCCATGCTGCTTTCATGGTCCTGTGCATGGCATCATGCAGAAGCACTTGTCCCTTTGCACAGCATCCTCATCACTGGCTCAGCTGTTCTCTCACTGGGCACTTGATGAGATCAGCAGCTCCCCAGACTCTCTGCAGGATGTGGGCACAGGCAGGCAGGCAGAGGCAGCGACCACTGGGAGGTGTTTGGGGAGTCGGTCCCAGAGACCTGTGTGACCAGCTACGCCCTCAGTCCACACATTTGAGGGAGGGGTAACTAGCAATTAGAAGCAATCCTAAGGATGGAATGTGAACAAGTCATTGCCTAACAAGATTACGGATGCTCTGTTTCCAAGTCTGGAAAATGGCCCTCACACAGAGTACAGACCCTTATCTTATCGCCCCTCTGGAACTGTGCTGCACCCTAAATGATGTATAAGTGGAAGCCCAAGAAACCCTACTGACACCTTGGTCTTGGACTTCCAGCAAGGCTTCTGGCTCAGAATGGGAGCTGCATATGGCTGCTCATAAAACAAGTGTTTCTGGGGCTGAAATTTTGCTAACAAAAACCGAATTCAGAATTTGAATGCTTGTAGGTGTTTTGTGCAGCAGCCATGCACCCTTATGAATGTGGAAACCAATATTTTTCCAGGTCACAGTGAGGGTGGGAGGATGGTAGGACCAGAAAACTGGGCCCAAGTAAGATTGAAATGTTTAGTTGACTGTAAAGCCTCTGCCATATACCACTGCATACAGTGGGCATTATTTTTCTTTCTCTACATGTTTTCTTCATTTTCTAATTTTAGTTGTCCAGCATAAACAGGGATAGCAATAACAATTTATATCAGGTTCTCATTAAAACAAAATTATTTTTTTTAATTCATATGCCTTGATTTTGGCAAATCAGATGGAGAAGTCAAGGTGTGGTATTCAAAATCACTCACCAACATTTCCAAAGCAGCTTATTCAGAAAGTAAGTATTTCCCAAGAAAGAATTCAGCACAGTGGGCCCAGCATTGACTAGCTCCGCTAGCTTTGTGATCTTAGCAAGTTCCTTAACTCCTCTGTGCTTCAGAAACCTCATATTAAAAGGAAAATTATAATAGTACTTGTCTCCCAGCTTTGTCTTGTTAGGATTAAATGAAATACAAGTAAGGTTTGGTGTATGGCAGATAGTAAGGAGTCAATAAAACCTCAGTGGTGGCTGGTATTGTCATTCCTAGACTAATGTTTGATCTTATTGGTTCTCTGGTGCTCTTCCTGCCAGGGAGGATGTGAAATTGAAGCTAAGAATTCAGAAGAGGTATGGTTTGGATTGACAAAGAACCAGGAACTTTCATTCATCCAACAAACATTTACTGATCACCTCCTCTGCATCAATTGCTCAGTCACCTCTTTGAATGAATCACAGTCTTGTTCTCCAAGCATTCCAGAGAGGTGGCATGACGGGGGTAAGAAGGGCATAGTGAGGAGTCTGATCTGAGCACTCAAAGGTTTTACGTTAACGAAGATAGATTGAGAAAGTTCAGTAGTTTGGGAGGAGCAGGTCAGGACTTAGTCAAGGGGAGACATTTAGAATGAAATCAGCAGTTTTAGGGAGCCATAATGGAGCCCCATTAATGGAGAATGACCTGAAAAAGTTTCATCATCTATAAAATGAGGCCAGTAGAGAACCCACTTCACAGGGTTATTGTGAGGAGTAAGTGAACACTTGGAAGGGCCTGACTCTCAGCAAGCGAGTGCCACGTAAGTGGTAGCTGCTCTCACAGTGATTTCCCCAGCGCCCAAAGCAGTGCTTGGCACATAGAGACATTCCATACTCTTTTCAATGGGAAAATGAATAAGAAAATGGGGCAATAACTGTCATAGTCAGAAAAGGGCTCTGAACAAGACCTTAATTCTATTTCCACCTCCACCAGTAACCAGAGGTGAGTAAATCAATTCACCGCTCTTGGCCTTTAGTTTTTCCATCTGTCGATGAAAGGTCTTTACTTGATGGTTGCCAGGGTTACTTCCATTGCTAAAATTCCATTGTTCGAAAAGGTAATTAGAGGGTATGAGGAAAATAGAAAAATACCATCTCTTATTTTAGGAGATTAAGATAAATAATGATGTCACTAGCACAGGCAGTTTGGAAAATGAGTCAGTTCTTAAAGTACATTGAGGTAGAATAAGGTCAATAGTTTTTAAATGTTTAATTACACATGTTGCCCATGAACTCATTCTGTTTATAAATTTTTAACATGTTCTTTTTTTTAATATTTGCATTTTTATTTTTATTTTTTAATTATAGTTTACTTTCAATGTCATTTTGTACTGGTTTCAGGTTTACAGTAGACAATCATATAGTTTACAAAATGATCCCCCAATATTTCCAGTGCCCACCTGGCATCATACATAATTACCACAATATTATTGACTATATGCCATATTCCCATGACTATTTTGTAGCTACCAATTTGTACCTCTTAATCCTTTCACCTCTTTCACCCAGTCCTCCCAAGTGCTCTTCTCTCTGTCAACCACCAGTTCCCTCTCTGTAACTTGTTCTATTTTTGTCACAGTGATACAGAATGAGCTTGTGATGGCATTGGGTCATCCACATCAGAAGTCAGTGAGGTGGGAATGTCAGGTGTGAGGGCAAAAAGACCAAGATTTTTCAATGAGAAATTAAATATCCAAGAAAATCCAACATCTGATCGTTAAGCAAGTCCTCCAGATGCCCTGTTATAGGACCGGCTGTAGTTGCCAGCGGTCATTTGATTGGTTAGATGTTAGAGCAAGCACAGTTGAAGTCACCATCGTGGTGCAGACAAGCCCAGGGAAGGTCTGTGCCAAGAAGAGGTCCACTCTATAGCCACATCCCACCTCCCTAGTTCTGGTGAACAGATTCCCTCACATGTGACCTTAGCCACAAGGGGAAGTGCGCTGAAAGCATGCCACCATGTAACTCGTGGTCATGGGGAATGGTACCAGCTTCTCCTTGCATACTTCATAACCTAGCTGGCCCATTTTGACCCAGATGGGTTGTAAATTTCTGAGAATGATTCTGCCTCTATAGAGCCCCAATCTGACTTAGATTTTCCTGAGTTTCACTGTGGCCAATACAAAATATTATCTGAGGCAGCATTGTCAAAGCAGCCACCACCTCCACTGACCGGCACTGCTCCTGCTCAGTCCTGCTGGGTCTGCTGGGTCCGGTGGCATGCCAGGCTTCCTGCTCCGGGTCGCCCCCAATTCCACAGGCTGCCTCACCAGTGGTCCCAGAGACCAAACAAGTACTTTATCAGACACAATGGAGAGCTGTAGCTGCTTAGTTCACTGAAAAAAATTGATAAGTAGAGAATCATGAAAAATGTCACATATATATCTTAATAACTTCATATTAATGTAGGACATTCAAACGTATATTCACTTGGCAGTCTCTTAAAGGAAGACCAAAGAGTCACTTTGATTATGGGTCCCAATAATTTGAGTTTTTTTCCTTCAGTAAACCATACTCAAAATAAACCACCCAGTTTGGGCATGTTTAAAGTGCATTCGAAATTTAAAAACACTTTTGAAGCAACCTGCCTGTTTACTGCTCTGAAATTTTTATTATGTTTTCTCTCTTTTTTTCCAGTTATCTCACCTGTACCGCATTCATCAGCAACTATTTTAGCCAACACTCCTTTATCAAGTTGTTCTGAACTATTCAACTTCATAGAAACAACACTCTCTTTTCACATTAATTGCATCAGAATGTGTAATATTTAGTGCACTTGCATTATTAAAACAACAGATGTGCCTAACATAAGCATACTTGGGGGGGGGGGGGGGGGGGGACATAACTGACACTCATCCACATATAACTCTGGTGTGAGCAGAAGGTTCTAGCATACCCCAGGCTGCCATCAGTAAAATTTTCAGACCACATGGAGGAGGTTGGCTAATTCAACAAGGAGTGGCCTACATATCCTAGTGCAGTGGTTGGCAAACTGGCTCATGAGCAGCTGTTTGCCATTCTGTTGACTAATGTGTTTACCGACCACTAACCTAGACTCTCGATTCCAATAATTACAGGCTGTTGTTGTTCCTTATGATTAAGCCCCTGACCTAGTGTACTTAAGTTGTCAAACAACATATATCAATAGGTCCTCTCTGGCCTTCCCTTCAGGTTATTCTAGTATTTATTCACCCCATTCATCTCTTGTCTTCCCTGGATTGGTCTACTTAGCACTGAAGAAGGAGGGAGATACTGAAGGAGCAGAGGTAGAGAGAGAAAGTAATGAAGGGCATGTTTGAGAAAGAATATCCTGGCAACTAAGGGCCAAGAACCCTTTCTTAGCTTGGGAAGAAAGACCTAAATTGCCCTCTTTTTCCACTATTCATCCAATCCACTGGCAGACTCAGCCCTGGTGCTGGGTATAGAGATTTGGGCTGAGTAGGACACAGACTCTGCCCTTGAAGAGCCTCCACCCTAGAGCAGAGCCCAGCCTATTAAACCCATAATTATAGTGCATTGGAATTAGTTTCTATGGTTGAGGGAGGATAGATGTGATGCTGAGCTATCTAGAACACCAAGCTGGATATTCATAGGTTAGTAGGAGGTTGCTAGATAGACAAAGGGAAAGAAGAGAGAAAAGGGAAAGGGCTTCTATGGACCAGACACATATGCAGAGGAGTGGAGCTGAAAGATGTTTGGTACCTCACATGCCTGAGTGAGGAAGGGAAGAGACAAGCAGACTGGATCTTAAAGAACCAAATACGTTATTCTAAGGAGCTTGGCCTTTCTTCTGAGGTCACTGAGGAGTCAGTGCAGGCCATTTAAATATGAGGGTAACATGGTTATATTTGATAAAGATTATCCTGATGCAGGGTGCTGGGATAAAGGAGAGGAGGATGATAGAGGGGAGTTGTTAGGATTAGAAGATGGGGTCTTCATCCCATCCTGACTTGCAGAAAGATTCCTAGAGATGAGGTGTCATGGATTCCACATAGAAACATATTCTTCACAGCACAGCTGGGCACTTAGCCAGCTGGGCTGGCTGCTGATTGGCTGGATGAGTGGTGGGTGGATGGGTGGGTGGATGGATGGATGGATAGACAGGCAGACAAATGAATTTGTGATTGTATGTGTTGTAATTTCTCTTCTTCCCTCAGCCATCTATCTTTGTAAGAGGACAATGCAGAATAAAGCAAGGCTGGAATTGGCAGATTATGAATCAGTAAGTACGATTATTTTCCAGGGTAGGTGTGGGAGGAGAGTACAAATATATCTGCAACTGTGTTTTAGCTTGTATTTTCCCCCTTTTCACTCCCCAATTCTTTCAGGCAGTGGAAAGGAAGCCTCATCTATTTTCCCTCTTTTGTTCTCAGCTCTTCTTATCATCACAGTAAAATTAATTTTTATATACATTAAGAAAACAACTCACCTTAAAAGTGGGCAAAGAACTTGAACAGACGCTTCAACAAAGAGGACAGAAGAATGACAAATAAGCACATGAAAAATTTTTCAACATTATAAGCCACTAGGGAACTACAGGTTAAATCCATGCTCAGGTATCATTGTACACATGCTAGGATGGCTAAAATAAAGAGTACTGTCAATGCCAAGTGCTGGTGAGGATGTGGGGCAACTGGAACTCTCCTACATTGCTGGGAATGCAAAATGGTAAAAACCATTCTCGAAAATGGTCTGGCAATTTCTTATAAATGTAAACATACAGCTACCATCTAACCAAGCAATCCTATTAGATATGTCACAACTTATGTGCACACCAAAACCTGTGCACTAATGTTCATAGTGATTTTATTTGTGATAATCAAAAGCTGAAAGCAACCCAAGTACATTTTAACAAGCAAATGGTTAAATAAACCCTGGTACATCCATACAGTATAATATTACTCTTCAGTGAAAAGGATTAAACTGGAATACAAGGAACCACTTGGATGAGTACCAAAGACATGATTCTAAGTGAAAGAAGACTATCTCAAAAGATTACAAACTGTATTATTCCATCTATGTGGCATTCTTTTAAATATAAAACTATCACGAGGGAAAATACAGATCAGTGGTTGCCACGAGTTTTGAGTGGAGGTAGATTTTGGCTCTGAAGAGCATGAGGGAACTTGGCAGAGTGACGGGATTATTCTGTGTCCTGATTGTGATGGTGGTTACACGAATCTATATACATGTGTTAAAATTCATGAAACTGCACCAAAAGGGAAAAATTGATTTAATATATAATAATTTTTAATTTTAATAGATGATATTTTTAATTGCATCTTTATACCTCCAAGTCACCTTTGCTTAGCAATAGATGCAGAATCTAAGACCAAATTTATTCCAGAAGATAAGATAGGTGTATGTCACTTGAAGTATATACCTTCCCAGCGGCCTCCCCCTCCACCTTCTTCCCAACAAGTGATTCCCTACAAAAACTGGAGGCCCCACAGCACACTCATATCAATCCCCACCTAACAGAGCCAATCTCAAGAGAACTAGAGATCCACAAATAATTTTTTTAATGTTTTTAGTTTTCAATGGCAGAATCTTTCCTCCAAACCACATTTTATATGAGTGACTGAGAATGGGAGAAATAGGCTAAATTTCCATGAACGGTCCAGAGGAGGTGCTGCTGAGCCACAAAATGACTAAGGGGCCAGCAGCTAGGAGGAGGGGCAGCATGAAAGGCCGTGGAGCACCATTCCCTAGATAATCCAGCACTGACAGCATCCTCAGATCCACCCACGCTCCAAATGCCTCTCCCGCTTTTGCTGCCTCAGTCTTCCAAAACAAGCCCGATGACCCACTCTGCCAGACCTGTCACTTTCGGGTACCTGTGCCCAACTGGACCAGCTTTGGAGCCATCACTCTCCCTCCACCTCTCAAGGGGAATATGGTTATCATTGGCGTCACAGGACCTGTGTGTGACCTTTCACCCCCTTTGATCCCACTGGCACCACAGGGCCTGTGCATGGGAGAGGGGAAAATAGTGGAAGAGGATGCATTGCAGGGGTTTACACAGAGCCTCAGAACACGGTTAAAGTTTGCTTATCAGTGGAAACCACCAAAGAGAACTATGTTGAGACATTATGATCTTCCCAAGCAAACCCTGGCATGGCTATTCTGTGGAGCTGAGCACTCTAGGCACCCAGTTTCTGTCCAAATCTGCCCTCCTGCGCCTGCGGTCACCCCTCTTTGAGAAGACTGCTATCTTACCCTGTGTGCACCCCGTGCAAAGTGCTTCAACCTCCTCATGGCTACATCCCTTCCCTAACAAGACCCAGACTGCAGGAGCGTGCGGCCCCTCCATCCTCTGTCTCTCTTCCCTGTATTTCCCATGTTTTAAAAAAGGTCCTAAACAGAAGCAAGACAGCATCAACTCCTGAGGGGTTTTTATTCAGTGTCCACTTCTCTTGCCGTATAATGTTCTACTTTGGTATTTGTGAAGAATATGCCATTAAAATGTTCTTTCAGGTTGAAGTTCTCCCTAGAAGTGGTTAGAAACTTAAAAAAAAAAAAAAGTATGTTGTTTTCACAATACAGTAATTTTGTTATTACATATGCCCTTGGTAAAAACAAAAATTCAAGCAGCAAAGAAAGGAGAGAAAAAAATAACCTGCAATCCTTCTCCCCAAAGCTTTTTCTGTACATACATTTTTTTCTTTACAAAAATATTTGGATCACACCATAAACATTATTGTGTAAGCTGCTTCTCTCCCCATCTAATACTGTAAGTATGTTGGGGATCTTTTCATGTCAGTAATAATAATCTACATTGTCATTTTAATAGCTGCCTAATATTCCATGGTATGACTGTATCATAATTTATATAATTACTCCCCCATTGACTGACTTTGATGCATTACCATTGCTTCCTATAAACAATGGAAGAATCAAAAAGGATAGTTTTGTTGAGGTGCTTGTTCACCAAGCCTTACTAATAACTGAGTTTATGTGTGTTGATCTTCAACTGAGGCCCCTTTTATATTAATAACCCACTGATGAGAGTAATAAATTAGTGTTGGCATGAGCTCTAGGAAAACACACAGCATAATGTGGGCTCCAGCCTTGCATTCCATCAGAATTAGGCAGGTCATTAGGGGACCTGTCAAACACCCTCCCCACTGTCCTATTGTGCCATTGGGTAAGTCTAGAGACTTAGAAAAGGGGCTTCTGCACTCTTCCTCTAAAAGGCAGCCCTGGATGCCATTTCTTTCTGTTTTTGGGGTTTTCCTTTATGAATATAGACTATATCACAAACATAGACTCCTTTTTCTGTGCTATTGAATGTGGACTTTCAAAGACATGAATGCCAAGTCTGGGTTCATCTTTTCTACCCCCTTCCCAGACCCCTGCTGGGAAACAAGTCTTGAGAAACCTTTAATTTTGCCCTCAGAGATGTCCAGCAGGTTGCAAAGATCCCCTTGCCCCTTCCCCAAACCCTGCATGCACAGCCACAAACCATTCTCCTTCTCTTCAGGAGCCTTTATAACAAAGGCTGCATGGGTTGTGTTCCTGTAAAACGCACAAGAAGGGAGGAATCGGGTGAACCACAGGGACTTCAGACTTAATGGGTGTGTAAATGAATATTAATAGTTCTGCTCCATATAGCGGGCTCTGGTGCAAAGTCACATTGGGTTCATGTCCAGTGGATTTAGAGAGGAGCCCTATTTTGAAACCAAAATAGATGGCTGCCCTGTAACAAGCATGGGGGTCGATGTGCAAACTTCCGATGATGAATGCCTTCTCATTCATTTTCATTTCTCATTAGGAAAACTTGGCAAGACTCCAGAGGGCCTTTGCAAGGAAGTGGGAATTCATCTTTATGCAAGCAGAAGCGCAAGTAAAGTAGGTGGACTTAATAGAGACCCTTGTGAAGAGAGAACGTCTCTGGGATTTGGAGGTGGTGTGGGTGTGGAATTGCCAGAGTGAGCTTTCCTTCCACAGCTGGCCAGCGGTGGTCAGTCACTGTCATCTCTCATGAGAGCAATTGAGTGGAAATCAAGGTTGTCTCTGTTACCATGGCAACTCTAAAATAATGTCAAGTGTTTATTCCAGCAGACAATGGCGTCCCTCCCAAATTTAGAACTCTGGTTATAAAAAGATGTATTTATTCCCCAAAGATTTTCAATTCTTCTTCTGTTCTCAGAGGCTGGAAAACCCCAGACTGATCGTACCTGTAGATGTGGAGATTTCATCTTCATAGGAAAATATGGTGGAGTTTTAGGGAGGTCGACAAGTAGCCCCTCTCCCAACCCCCTCCCCAGAGATCCAGATCCAATCAAAAATAAGGCCCAGAAGTCCGACACTTGGAGTCCAAAGTATCAGATTATTACTGCTAAAAGCTAGTGATACCACATGACTTTAGATCAGTGGCCTTGGATCTCTGCCCGGAATTAAAATCACCCATCCTGGTATCGCTGCACATATGTAGGCGCCCTCACCAGGGCAGAGTTAACCCCGCCCGGTTGGCTTATTATCTGAGAACAGATGTTCATAAAGAACCAACCTGAGCTTTCTCAGTGTCTTCTTTCAAATCCTCCAGTGAGATGTCACTCTCCCTCCCTGGAGGACAAGAGATGAAAGGCGGAAAACTGGAGTGTTTTCCCACATTTTTCCCCTCCCGGGGAGTAGAGTAGAAAATCCCTCCTCTCTAAGGAAGCAGGAGAAGTGGCCAGTGAGTGTCCCCCAGCCCACAGTCATGGTCAGATCCTTTTAATTCTGGTACATGGATGTGCTGAGGTTGGCTTCCCTCCGGTTCTTTCCGGCAGTGGCTGGCTTAGCCAAGGGGTTCACAAAACAGATAACTCAGAGGAGGGAAAGGAAAGGAATGCTGAGCTGGGAGAAGGTAAGTCCCTTTTCTCTGGGCACCATTTGCACCTACATAGAGACCCCTCTGGGGTCTGCAGGGGACCTGCTTTGCAGTCCCTGGGAAGTGTTGCAGCCCATCGCCTAGGGCCAAGTCTCGGGCAGTGTGGGCGGGCATTGATCATGTGCATGGTCATTGGGTTCAGTGGCCAATACAGGGCCAGGACCTCACCCTCCTTTTGCAGCCTCTGCCTTCTCCCACGCAGGATTCCAGCCTCCTGCTATCCTCCTGGGGCCCAGACCCTGGGTGCTGCGCTTTAGCAGGATGAACCAGGCCCCTGGGGAGGAAGGAAGTGGGAGGGTGGGTGAGGGGGTGAAAGGGTGGGTGAGAAGGAGGCTGAATTGAGCTGTGTTCTCAGAAGCCTCTGGGAAGCAAGGAGGCACACTCACTTATACGTTCAGAATCACCCAGCTTCGAATGTTATAAAAGGAGGGGAGATGGCCCCTTTGTACATATATGGCATTTCTTGATTATTTTTTTTTATTAACTCTGTGATTGCATTATAATTGTGGGCCATTTAAGTACACAACGCTTATCACAAACATCACAGGGCGATTACAGGTTTATTTCAGTCCAGTCAGCTAAAGTGCTCCCACGAGAGCCAAGGACCAGGAGTAACATGGCAATTACTCCGAGTTGCTTTCTGCTTAGAGAGATGCTGTGAAGTAACACAGGCTTTATTTTAAAGCCTTTTATCTATGTTCCTCTTTGGAACGTAGAATCTGCCTTTGTCACCTGCAACTTCCCTCTTGCAGTCTGTGCTTCCCCAGTGAAAGCCCCTGGTTTTTGCCTTCTGAATGCTGGTGCACACCAGGGCTCTTACTCTGCTTTAAAAAGCCAGCTGGTTTCAGTGGCTCTTAAAACGCATCATTGCAGCATTTTGAAGACATTTCCACCCACTCTGAAGCTAGAGCACACTTCCCAATTTGAGGATGAAACAATGCAAGCCTCGGTTATTCCCTCCTATGATTGAGTACACAGCGCCCGCTTGGATGGGTGGGAGCGTAACAATAGTTTTATTCAGTTCTTAATGCAAATCATAATCCTCCGAAGGGACAGTTGCATTCTGCTCCCCCAAGGCCCACAATGTTTGTTACATGTGGGTGGACATTCGCAGTCTAACCTAAAACTAGTTCTCTCACGTGTGGACTTCATGGGTTTCCTTGAAGAAACTGTCCACCCACGTTTTACAGCTCTGCACAGAGCGGAGGCCACACAGGTGCCAATTGTCCTGTGTGGTCTCGGCTCCTCGAATGAGGGGAAACAATGCAAAAGTCTCTGATTTCCTTCCTTTATGCTTTCAGGATTGACCGGAAAAAGGACAAGACAGAAAGGAAAATCTTGGATAGTCAAGAGCGGGCCTTCTGGGATGTCCACAGGCCAGTGGTGAGAAAGCTCTGTTCGGTTCTCTAAGTTTTCTTATTTTCTTCCTCCGCTTGAGAGAAATGACCATCTTTAGCCACCAGATGTCTCCTTCTTAAGAACACTGCTAAGCTTTGTGGAATGTTTTGCCACTCATTCACATAATCTCAGCGGAGTTTCTGGAATGTTCTACCTTTTATAAATTATCCAGTCATGGAAATATGGAATCGGAAATGGAGAGCTGTGGGAACTCCACCTGGGATCTTTGGCCCCAGGAAGTTTACAGACCCAAAATAAGTAACTTCCGTGTTTACTGTGGTTCAACTAAATCTTAGAATATTCTATTTTAAATGCAGCCAGGTCCTGTTATTCACGGTTCTGTTCCATAGGTGACCGCAAACACTGAGTCAGCGAACCCTGATCCATTGCTGACCCACGGCATCGGACCACTATATCAACTGATCAGTGTCTAACCTTGTTTATTCCACACTTCTGTTTAAAGACACCTTACTATATATTGTTGATTCATCAACATGGAACTCATGGCCAACAGCACTGACTCTCATGCCAGATGAAGCTCATTGAACACATTTTCTCCGTAGGTGCATCACAGCCTCTTGCACTCAGGAACTAGACAGCATTTCAGCAGTGCGCCTGGGGGCCATTTTAAACAATAAAATACAACAACAACAACAAACCCACACAGAAATAGTTACACTGAATAGCCCTAGAAAAGGGCACGTATTTACAACTATAGATCCGAAATTCATGCAAGGGTCTCAGGCCTCGCAGCCCCCTGCAGTCCCGGCTAGCCCTCACAGGAAGGTTGTCTGGACAGTCAGTCGTTCTACTATTTGGTCTAATTAGCATATTAGCTCTTTATCATATAGGATATGAAAAGTTTAAACAAGAAGACTGAATGTCACCTTATTAGACCTCAGCCAGGAGCATGCACATTGGACAACCCGAACGTTTTGTTGCTCTGTAAATGTCTCTGAATGGCCATGGGTGCACTACAAGTGTTGATTTAGGGGTTATAAATAAGTTTTAGCCAGAAGGCAAACTCACAAATACAAAATCCATGATGCTTGTGCTTTTAATCTTATCTTATTCAAACAAATCTTGCATTTTCCACATGAAATGGAACTAAAATGAATAAACTCTCTCAGCCTTCCTAAAAACTGGCGAAGAGCAAAACTAAAGAAATAATTCCAAATCCTGATATTGGCATGCACTTAATCGGTTAGATGTGTGCAATAACAAGGGCTCTGACTGAAGCGACCTGTCACTTTGAGTAATAAGTTTGCTCTTATAAACTGAACACTCTACCTTCTATGTATCATCCTGAGATAATATAAGCTTTTATGTCTCAGATGAAAACTCTATGGAGGAACACGTTTACATCTTCGTAAAAAATTGTAAATGGCGAAGTGGAGATAATGTTGCGTTATGTGTAAAGGGAAAGAGAGTGATTGGCTCTGATGGTGTCACTTGGGCTAAATCGGAAGGGTGATTTTCACTAAGTCATGTATGTGATGTGTTGTTTTTTCCTTCTCAGCCAGGCTGTGTGAACACCACAGAAATGGATATCAGAAAATGTCGGCGTTTGAAGAACCCGCAAAAGGTTAAAAAGGTTCGAGAGTTCAGCTGAATTAAAAATTCTTGATGTGAATGGCCCTTTCATTTCTGCTACTGTCCAAACAATAATTTGCTATTTGTTAATTCTACCCCATTTCGTCCCTTGAAACCATTTCATTCATTTATTTGGCAAATATTTGTGGAGTGGCTGGTGTGTGCTTAGCACTTTCCTTGCTGCTGAAATAAGTCTTCACAAAGCCCATAGGCCTGGTGGGGACAAAACAAGCCAACACACAACAGAGCGAGGAGGGGGGCATTGGGGAAGTACAGGATGGTTCAGGAGCGCCAGGAGGGGGCGCCAGACCAGGGCTTCCCGAGGGCTTCCCGTGCCAGCTCAAGTGTGCTGAGGGTAAACAGCAGTTGACCATGGGGAGGAGGCTAGAGGAAAGGGAACTAAAGGAACAAAATGTATAATGGAAACCCCACTGCTGAAAGTGAGTATAGTACTTTGAAAGTCTTTTAGTATAGATTACAAGGTCATCCAAACTCCAGTCACCGTCTTGCCCAACTGGGAATGAGCCAATGATCACTTGTGTTCACTATACTGAAGGGGCAGTGACCATGGTGCACCTAAGGGTGCCATACTCTGTCAGCCCCACAGTTGGTACATCCCACCCTCGCAGCAGCTCCAGGGACCATATTGTGGGAGAAAGTGTCTGGCCTCCATTCTATTAATTTCAAAAGGTTAGAGATGTGTCCCTAGAAGAATCAATCCTCTCATTTTCTCATATATATATGAACCTTTCAGTGTTCACTGAGATAGTGATGCCCACTGTGACATGTTTTATAGTGTTCAATGTCAAATGGCCTCATTTAATCTTTAAGGGCCCCCTAATTACCATAGAATTTTATTCCAGAATTTCACAGAGCCTACCTCTACCCTCTTTGAGCCCTTCTTGATTTCAGCTGTGCATGGTATACCCTTTGGGGTTTTGTTTCTTTCCCAATGCAAAGAGTGCTTTTAACCTGTCTCTAATGCAAGGAACAGCTTAAAAGGCAGCCATAGTTGTGGGCATGTGGAGAAACTGAGTCCAGAAAACTACTTAGCTCAAAAGCAAAAGAATCTGAAACTCTGCTATTTCAAGTTTGTACTAGATGAGTGTGTCAACTACAGGCCATTAGAGAATCTAGAGGGGATCTCTGTGCATTATCTTCAGCATTTGCTCTTGAACTATCTTGTGCCTCAGAATCACCTGGGGCATTTGATAAATGTACAGATTCACAAGCCCCATCCACAAAGATGATGACTCCATAGGTCCATGTGTATTACCAAGTACTCCTAGACGATTCTTTGCAGATGGTCTAAGGACCATCTCCTGAGATGCAAGGAGACCATTTCAGCTCAATAAAAGGGAAGACTTTCTAGCAGTGGTAATACACAGATGAGACAGGGCTGTCTCAGGCACAGAGTTCCCATCCCTGGAGAAATTCAAGCAGAGGTTGATCATTCACTGCTGGGGTGTCACAGAGGGGACTGGGAGCATCGGAGGAGTGGTTGAGCCAGCTCACCCCGGACTTCCTCTTAAGCTCTGAGATTGCATGACTCTGTCTTCTTGCTTCCTCTCTAGTCGGTGTACGGCGTGACAGAAGAGTCCCAGTCCCAGAGCCCTGTGCACATCCCCAGCCAGCCAGTCCGGAAAACGACAAAAGAGGACATCCGGAAACAGGTGAATGAATGACTCCTGCCCTCCCAGAGGAGACGTGGCCAGTTCAGAAACCTTTCAGTGTTCACCTCTGAGAGCTGAGTGAGCTTTGAGCTCCTGGAAACCATAGTGAAGACCAGCTGTGGGTGGTTTGAACCTTTGAGTGCTGTGTGCAAACAACTCGTGGAAGCTTGAAAAGGGAAATTCTCTACCAAGTTCCTCCAGTTTGATAGGAAGACATAAATGAGTCCTCCCAATACTGAAGGAGACTGCCATAGTCGGGTCTCCCACAGGAGCTGGAGCGGGGAGGGAGTCACATTACAAGGTCCTTAAAATTGCAGTGTGCTTCCAGAGTACACTGGTCTGGGACCACTGACCTCTGTGATACAAATGGAAAGTTTATAAAAGCAAGCTCCACTCCCAAAGCCTTTTCAGCATTATTCTTACTTCCTGATGAGGAGTTACCTGCTCAAACCAAGTAAGGAGACAGTGGCTAATTACATGACTCCTTTCTGGGGTGCACTGGTAATGAAGTAACTTCAGAATCTACTCCTTACATTATGCTTTATTTCCAGGGTGGGGGAACCCCAAGGAGGAATGTAACTGTTAGGTACCTGCCTTTGACAAGTTTGTTATTGCTGGGAGAAGAGGAAAGAGATGTATGTGAAATAGCTATCGGAAGATTCTAGTCAAGTATGCTGAGCACATGGGGGTGATGCGGATATAAAAGTGTGCATAGAGGGATAACTGGAGATTAGTCCAGCCAGGTATCATGGTGTGTGTGTTACCTGTCCATGCTGCTGCTAAGCTTTATAAAGCATATACTTACTGCCTTTAAGTTTGCAATCACTTTTGGGAATCCAGACCTAAACTACAGCACAGTGCTAGAGAACGTATGACGTGGGCTAGATCGCAAATCCCAATGGCAGTAAGAATTCTCAAAAAGGCAAATAGTTGCTGAAGGGTTGAAGTCTATCCAGAGCAGGTGTTGGGATCTTGAGAGAAATACAGGATTTTAGTTCCCAGGGTGAAAGCGGGGGAGAAAATTCTAGTTTGGTCCTTACACCTCTGTTCTGTCTTTCCCCAGATAACATTTTTGAACGCACAGATTGACAGGCATTGTTTAAAAATGTCCAAAGTGGCTGAAAGGTAGGTGCCCCTCAGTGAAATGACTGTTTTCTTCTGATGTAACAAAGGGGACATGTTACAGGGTCATGGCCAATAAGCATGTGCCATGCCAAAAGGCAGACCATAGGCATTCCTTAAGTGATGGGTGAAAAAGGCCCCGGTGAGGACAGCTGAGATGGCAGACTCCCGTGAGTGATGTCAAGAAATGTTCTGTGGCTAAAGCTTTCCAGGGGGGCCCACGGGACCTTGTCAATCAAGGTCAACGTCCTTAAAAGCTGCATAATGCACCTTGGCCTTCAGTCCCTTGATTAATTTAATCGGAATGGCTCCCTTTTCAGCTGTAAAATGCCCAGATTCACTTTATAGGGGAAAGAGATTGTGTGCTCGCCGAGCAAACAGGAGGGGACTGCACCACGGGGAGGCGTTCCGCCTCCACACACCATCAACCACTGAACTGCATCGAATCGGCTGTAAAGAACACACTGGCACCTCCAGCCTGGCTCCGCAGCAGCATTTGTGCTCCAGTCTGCCGCAGGAGCTGGTTCCACTCCGTTAACTCACCAGAGGCTCAATTTTGTCAACTAAATGGTCTGTTTTTGAACTCTCAGTGAAGAGGGGAGACCACCCGGGGAATCTGTATCTAGTAAATCTGATCAGGCAGTGGCAAACTGACCATCTTTTTGTCGACAGGCTAAGGTTAAAGCAATGGCCAATATCTGAAGCTTCAAGGGCATATGCTGGATCCTGGTATTTGCTGGATATCAGAGTAAATTGGGTCTCTAAGCCCAGCTCACACAGGGGCCTGGGTGTGTGGTCAACCTGTAAGCCTCTCTCCAGTAGTCCCTTCCTTCTAGATAAAGAACAAACTGAGACTAAGAATACCTTACTCCAAACACCTGCATGAGCGCCCAGCCTTCACCTGGCCAGGGACAACCCTGGACCAGGGTTCATGTCTCTGATGGCATCTTGGATTCCTGCCAGGTTTCTCAATAGTGTTACTATTGATGGTCTGAGCTGAAGAGTCTTCGTTGCAGGGGGCTGTCATGTGCATTATAGGATACTAGAGGCCCGGTGCATGAAAATTTATACACTGGGGGGGTGGGGGGCAGGGGGTCCCTCAGCCCCACGTGTGCCCTCTCGAAGTCCAGGAGCCCTCGGGGGATATCTTTAGCACTGTCTCAGAAGTGAGGTGGGAGAGGCTCTGCCACCACCACTGCACTCACCAGCCATCAGCTCGGCTTGTGGCTGAGGAGGATCCTCCTGTGGAAATGCACTGACCTCCAGGGGGCAGCTCCAGCCCTGACTCTCCCTCCCCCACCATCACCCTCTGCAACCAACAAGACGAGTCAGGAGCTGGCAGGCCAGTGACCCGCTGGCCCCACACCCCACTGGTCACCACTCCCCCCCCCCCCCATCACCATTCCCTCTCTCTGCCCGCTGGCACCAGCCTTGTTCTGCCTGGTGCCACCCACTCGCTGGTCCTGCCCCCCACCAACCTGGTCATTCAGCTATTTGGTTTATTTGCATATTAGGCTTTTATTGTATAGGATTCAGCAGCATCCCTGACCCTTGTCCACTAAATGCCAAACCCCACCTCACGGATGTGACAACCAAGCATGTCTGCAGTCCCCTGGGAGGGCAAAATCAACCCTGCTGAGAATCACTGATGCACGTGCTTCAGAAAGAGGCCGCACAGTTGTGCTGGAGTGGCTGTGGCCGCTGCCTCTGCTTCTTCCATCTCGCTGTGGTTATGAGTCCTGGTGAGCGAGCGGCACAGCTGGGGCGGCCTCGGTTCCTTGGTGTGAGGACAGGAGCCTCTTTGTCTGTGAACAAGGACAGGAATGGCGGTCCTGGCATGTGGGGAGGGTCGGTGCTCACAATACCTGGCCTTCACAGGGCCCTTCACAGTCTGCGACCCCAGGAGAGTGTGTGGGGGAGTACCTTTCCTGAGGGTCAGTTGCTTGGGCCCAGGAGTTCTGAGCACGATGATCCAGGTGGGGGTGAGAGGTGACCAATGGAGATCCCCAAACCCTCGCTCTGGGGATTCAGACTCAATGGTTCCAGGTAGCTGTAAGGAACCTGCATTTTGAATAATGTGCATGTGGACTGACCAGGCTCTGGGGATTCGGTGAAACCCTTGTCCACCACTCAGACTGACCTGAGAGCTCACCTCAGAAGAGACTCTCAGCTCTGTCCTTGCCTGTGGATGAGGAAAGAGCCTGAACCGTCTGCCTGGGGCAGGCTCTCACTCAGCTGGTGTGCTGCTGAGAGAAGAGAAACAGCAGGGGAGGGGAGCCTGGCAGGGCCCACTGTTTGTTTGTTTTCAGGCTGCCGGGGAGGGGCCCACCTGGTGCCCTCTCATTCTGCCCTAGAGGCCGCTCACCTTGAAGAGATTATTCCAGCCAGCCACTCCTCCCTCCACAGTCAGTAGCTCTCCCGTGTTTCCGCCCAACAGAGACTGGATTTTATTCCCAGCAGCAATAACTGGCAACTTTTCAATGTGACACAAGGGTTTTTCATTAGAGCCACAAGGAAACTCCCAGATAGTGAGGAGGAGGGAGAGGAGCGGGTGTTAGCAGGAGATAAAGCTGCCTGGAGCCCAGAGGTGGGAGGCAGGGGGAGGTGCTGGCAGCTGGCCTTGGGTGCGCCTGCTGGCTCACAACAGGTGAAAACTGAGCTATCTCAGGTGGGCGCGCAAATCCCACCAGATCTGCTCTCCTGGGCCTGCTCCCCATGAGCCTTGCTGATTAGCTAGAAGCCACCAGGCAAAGGCCCTCTTCCCCCTGAGAACAGGTGGCCTGTTTTTTCACTTAGTTCCCTGAGCGCTGATGTTGGGGGAGGTGGAGGGGTGGTGCTGGTGAAAGTCCAGTTCTAAAAAGGCCGGGAGTCAAGGCTGGGTCAAAGGGTGTAGCCAGGCCAGGAAGGGAGGGAATAAGGGGAACTTTGCAAACCAAAGGGCAAAATAGAACAATGTGGGAGGAGGGGGGGAGGTAGAGCCAGCCACTGGGTTTGGATCCTGTGTCTTTAAAGGGGAGAAAGCACTAGTACTTCATGTATAAGGTTAATGAGTGAATCCATGGTGTGAGCTAGGTCCAGGCCTTGGCACTTGGTACACATACAGTGAATGTGAGTGATTATTGTTATTTTCCAGTGTGTGCTAGACGGTGCTTTGGAAAGGAACCAACTCAAGTTCATGAGATGGAATGTGTGTTGTTCAGAGGAACCAACAGGGCAGGCCAAGGAGTGAGGCTGGCCCTGCAGGTGGCTGTTTTGTGCTGATGTAGTTCCTCCCTCCCTCTTGCTTCTCCCGCTCCTAAGCAGAGAGCCCTGCGTAGTGCCTAAGGCTGTCCCTGCCGTCCACAGGTCTGTCTCCCTGGGCTGCCTCCTAAGGCACCAATAACGGGTATCTTCGGGAGGGTGGGGCCCTGCATGAAGTGGCTGGCTCTTCTGCACAGGTTTTCGCAGGTCATCTCAGGTTTAGCTATTGTCCCATTGTCCCCATGAGTGGTTGACTGTGCCTGAAATGCCAACATTGTGGCAACCAAACCAGATGTCCCAGGCTGCCTTTTACTCCTGGCAACAGTACAAAAGCCAGTCTGAGATGGTGCCTAATTTTTTTTGCTTCAGAAAGTACGGTTCCTGCACATACAAATGAATTCTCTGGATAAATGATGCCTAACACCTTCACCTTTTTTTTTTAATATATATATTTTTTATTGTTTTTTTACAGAGAGGAAGAGAGAGGGAGAGAGAGTTAGAAACATCGATGAGAGAGAATCATCGATCAGCTGCCTCTTGCACACCCCCTACTGGGGATGTGCCCGCAACCAAGGTATATGCCCTTGACCGGAATCGAACCCGGGACCTTTCAGTCCGCAGGCTCTATCCACTGAGCCAAACCGGTTTTGGCCACTTTTTTGTTTTAACAATTTTAAATGAGACTGTCTTCAATTTGGTTCATGCCCTTGCCTTCTTAAAAAAGGACACACATTTCAGATTCCATGTTCTTATATATACTTGAAAAGTCCGTCAGTGGTCAGGGTCTCAGAAAGTGCCACAAGCTGCTTCCCTTTTCCTAAACAGCCCCTGGCCATTATATGCTTTGAGTCTCTGTTTCTGCTTTTTAGTGGTTGGTTTGTTTTCTTGTTCCTGTCAACATACTTGTCTCCAGTACTCCTTCCTCCTCCCTTACCAATTCCCATTTCCAATCCATAACAAACCAGGTCTACCAGTTAGCTGTTGCTGTGTAACAAATCACCTCAAAAGCATAGTGGCTTCAAACAACAGGCAATTTACTGCTGCTCATGTGTCTGTGGGCTGACTGCCTCTGTTAGGCACCAATGATCTCCCCCTGGTGTATGTGTGTATGTGTGGGCAGCTCAGTGATCTTGGCTGAGCTCTCTCACACGTTTGATTTCAGTTGGTTAAGAATGATCTTAACAAAATAAACTGTTGAGCAAAATACATCCAGAGACATAAAAGCATGGAACAGATTGTTGAATTTCAGAGGGAAGGCAGGGGTGGATAGATAGGTGGGAAGAAGCCAACCAAAGAGCTTGTATTCATATATGCATAGCCAATGGACATAGAGAATAGGGTGGTGGAGGCCTGGGGCAGAAAGCAAGAGCAGGCTATAAGGGGTCAATAGGAGAAAAAAAGGGGGACATATGTAATACTTTCAATAATAAAGATATTTAAAAAAAAAAAATAGATGACCAAAACACACACACACACACACACACACACACACACACACACACAATGTCTTCAGCTGGGACTATTGGGGTCTCCTCACATGGCCTCATCCTCCAGCAGGCTAATCTGACCTTGTTCATATTCAGATAGCAGGATTCCAAGAGAGAGAGCAGAAGCATCTAGCCTCTTGAGAGAGTGCTGCGTTCTATTGGCTAAAACAGTGGTTGGCAAACTCATTAGTCAACAGAGCCAAATATCAACAGTACAACAATTGAAATTTCTTTTGAGAGACAAAGTTTTTAAACTTAAACTTCTTCTAATGCCAGTTCTTCAAAATAGACTCGCCCAGGCCGTGGTATTTTGTGGAAGAGCCACACTCAAGAGGCCAAAGAGCCTCATGTGTGCCAAAGTTTGCCGACCACGGGGCTAAAACAAGTCACAAGCCCAGACCAGATTCAAGGGTTAGGAAAACAGATTTCATTCTTTCTTATTGATGTACCACACTAAGGAAATCAAATAACTAAGTTCCTTAGCCTTGGTCCTGATGCAAGAATTTTCTCTGAGAGATGTCTTCTTCCGAAGCCTCAAGGCATAGAGTGTTTCATTGTAGAAAGAGGCCCTTCTGATCACTTATCTCGCCTATGTTCTCTCAACAGTTTAAGTTGCCAAGTAAAGGAGGTCTTACTCTTCTTCAGAGTCCCCTTTTGTATTCACCTAAGCCTTGTCACACTCAACAAACCAACTTTGTGAATGCTCAAATTCACATTTTAGTTCCAAATATTCTGGAGAGTCTCTGCGTTTTCCTGGGTGTCCCCAGAGACTTCTCCCCACCTCTCAGGGCACCGAGCAGGTCACTGCAGGAGTCACACCACCACGCTGCCACCCACAGACAGATCAAGCTGTGACCTTTGTAGATCCACTCTTGGGCTTGGCTCGTTCTTGCCCTACCCTGGAGCCATTTGTGCATCGCAGCCTATGGCTGAATTGATTTTTTATCATCACCTTGCCCATCTCCAGATCGCTACTGTTCCCTGAAATTGGATACTGGTTCCTCCTCTGCCTCCTGCCCCTTTGTAATTGCTAAGTGTAATTAATAAAATGAGATAAGATAGCAAGGGGCTGCATGCCCTAAGGGTCTATTAAAAACCTGCTAGAGTGATACCAGCTAGTGAACTTAATGTCTAATGATAGTTTTGGGGCAGGAAAAAAAGGAGCCAAAGAGGTCATTACAACTTGGCTTTTATGTGATTCCAGACACTGTGGGGTCCTTGTTTCTCTTTGCTTCCAGCCCATCTTAGGTGTCAGAAAAGAAAGGGTGAGAGGTAACATACAGCCAGGTGGTTGTATTCAGATCATGACCTAGAAGGGCTGCAGTGCCTGGCCTGGCATATGGGGCTAAATTCTTTCCCAGGGGCTAAATTCTCCTTCACATCCCCTCCACTCCACTCATTCTGAGATTCCCTATTGATTATATTTTCTCAGAGTGACCTGCAATTAAGTTCTCTCTTTATAGTCTCTCCCTCCCCCACCTCCTGCACCTTGAAAAACACATTAGGTTAATGAATTGATGCTTTCTTCTTCACTCTCTGCGATGCTGCTCTACTTTTCACTTCCCTTTCTACTCAGACCCTCTTCCTGTCCGGTTTCCGTTTGTGCATCATCATTCAGAAACTGCACATAGCGAAAGGGGTGCTAATATACACTCCTGTTCACCCCTTTCCACATGCGGTTCCCAGGCTCCTTCGCATTCAGAGGCCCTGATTTTCTAATGGGTGTTTCAGTACATTTTCATTATGTTTCCAAAATAGGAATGATGGTCCTAGCCTGTTTGGCTCATTGGATAAAGGTGTAGGCCTGTGGACTGAAGGCTCCTGGGTTTGATTCAGATCAAGGGCACATGCCTAGGTTGCAGGCTCAATCTGCACTGGGGGGTGTGCAGGAGATAGCCAACCAATGATTCTCTCATCATTGGTGTTTCTATCTCTCTCTCTCCCTACCCCTCTAAAATCAACAAAAATATATCTTTTAAAAAATAGGAATGATGGTCACTCTTCCATGATGCTTTATATCCATGCCTCCTTTACCATTGACTAATCACTTTAAGCCATCCCTCACTGAATTGCCCATTATAGAGAAAACTCGAGTTGGCAGGGCTTAGAAAAAGTTTTTGTCCCCTACATGGATCAATAAGCATAAAAAGATCCATACCTTTTGGCACAAATAATTCTACTGGTGAATGTCAATTCTCAATAACCCAGAAAATGGAAAACCAACTGTGGATAATGGTGTGTTGCTACAGCACTATATATACTAAAGAAATTAAAAGTCTGTGTCTACTGTAAAGGAAATTATTATATAAATCATAATAAATTCCAGACAATATTGTAGACATATGTTTCTCTTCTCTCCCTCCCCCAAAGCAACATTTCAATGAATGAATAAAAATGGCATGAACTCAAAGTCAACAAATCATTGAATTAATGGTTTCAGCCAATTTGTTGAAGACTAAAAATCTAGGGAATTGGGGAGCATTAATAACCTCGGGACTCTTCCTCTATTTGTAATGTTTTACTTCTTTAATTGGGTGATGAGTTCAAAGATGATATTTTTACCTTTTTATACCTTTTTTTTTTACCTTTACTTTTATGACTTTCTGTATGCCTGAAATATTTCTAAATTTAATTTTTCAAGTGTACAGGGACCAAGTGAAGACCATTATAACCTACCTGTGTGTTAGGGGTGTGACTTTTATAACAAAGTGAGCCAGTTTGCCCAATAGAATGTGGCCTTGCTCTTAAAGGCACAAGGACAATGGAAAGCAAGAATGAGGCAGAGGGCTGACCCATCAGGATGGGTAAAGCCTGTCTCTGGTGCCTTTGGATTGCTAGATCCCTGCCCACCAGGGGATGGCAGTTTATTCTTTGGAGAAACTGAGCCACATCAGCTCAAGTCATATCACCTCATAGAGGGACAGTTGAGTACAGGACAATTAATAAAAGGTCTATGAGACTCTCGAACCCTCCGCTATCCTGCTTTTAGCCCTCCAGGAGCCAGATGTATATGCCTACAGTCAAGAGACTGGCAAACTACAACCTGTGGGCCAAATCCACTCCACTCCCTGGTTTTGCAAATACAGTTTCATTGGAAAAGAGTCACATGCATTCATTCGAAGCTTGCTGGTTTGATTCCCCAGCAGGGCACATGCCTAGAAGGCAGCAGATCAATATTTTAGTCACATCAAATGTGTGTTTGTGTGTGTGTGTGTGTGTTTGTGTGTGTGTGTGTGTGTGTGTCCTCTCCCTTTCTCTTCCTTAAAAAAAAAATGGCTACAAAAAGAGCTGAGTAGTTGTTGCAGCATACACCATCTGCCCCACAAAGCCTAAAATATTTATTATCAGGGTCTTACATAAAAAGTTGGCCTACCCCTGTTCTAGAGAAAAATGGGTGTCCCCAGAAGACAGATGCCAGATCCCTTGTTGGGGCTCCAGTGAAAAGACTGGCAAGCTGCCCAGTGACCCAAGCATGAAGCCCATCAGTCGGCAGGTCCTGTCCACATACACACTGAGCCTCCAAGCAGGTTTCAGTACCTCACGCTTAAGGACAAATGGATGTCCAGAGGTTTGCCAGATGCTCAAGAAAAACCCCCATGTGAGAAGGAGTGTAATCAAACAAAAAAGGGACCTGAAGGAACCAAATACTATTCAAGAAACTGAAAATAAAAATATAGTATTAATATTCCAGACATATGAGAAGATATTCCACCCATAAAATAAGAACCAGATACTATGATAAACAAGAGTGAATTCTGGAAACTTAAGAAAATAGTAGCTCAAATTAAAATAAAGAAAGGAAAAAATTGGAACTACATCAGGTTTTTTGTCAAACAAAAAGACAAAAAAAAAGAAAAATGGGAGGGAAAATTAGATTATCAATCAATTCAAATGTCCGACATTTAACTAAAAAGAATTATACAGCCCAGCCAGGGTGAGTATCAACCCATGAACCAAGAGGTTTCTGGTTCAATTCCCTGGTCAGGGCACATGCCTGGTCATGTACTCAGACCCTAGTAGGGGGTGTGCAGGAGGCAGCTGATTGAGAATATTCTTCTCATCAATGTTTCTATATCCCTCTCCCTTCCTCTTTCTCTCTAAAATAAAATAAAATAAAATAAAATAATAAAATAATAAAATAAAATAAAAATGTTTTTAAAGAATTAAGAACAGCCGAAACCGGTTTGGCTCAGTGGATAGAGCATCGGTCTGCGGACTGAAAGGTCCCAGGTTCGATTCTGGTCAAGGGCATGTACATTGGTTGCAGGCACATCCCCAGTAGGGGGTGTGCAGGAGGCAGCTGGTCGATGTTTCTCTCTCATCGATGTTTCTGGCTCCCTATCCCTCTCCCTAAATCTCTGTAAAAAAAAAAAAAAATCAATAAAATATATATTTTTAAAAAAGAATTATAGAACAGAAAAATAAATGGTATGACATTAGCAAAAAGAAAATAACACTTATGAGAAATATATTGTACATTGTACCCAGCACAGTGAAGAAAAATAGCCAGCAAGGGCCAGGGTGAAATTTCAGAGGACTACAGCAAAAAAGAGAAGATCCTAAGTTTCCAGAGAGAAAAGAAACTGTTTAGAATCCAAATGGATCCAGACTTCTCAATAGTAGCACTGAACACCAAAACACATAAATAAAAATGTGAGCAAAGCCTTCAGAACTCTGAAAGAAAATTATTTCTAACTCTGGGCTCCATGTCCAGTGCTATCAGTCAAGTATCGAGATAAAGCAAAGGGAGGTGCTTCCACACCACCAGGGAGGAGAACCGACAGACCTGGGACCCAGGAAACAAGGGCTTCAATACAGAGTGAAGGAGGCCCCAGGATGATGATTTTGCCTGGAACCTACAGGGCAAACAGTCCAGGTTGGAGCAAGAGGACTCAAAACTCTGATGATAGGGAGACAGCGCATTGATTAAGATATGGGGAAATGATTACTGAATGTTTTAGAGATTTGTAGGGACACTTGAAAAAAGTAATATGCTAGTTAGCTCCGCAGCACGTGAGGGCAAAGGAAAACAGTTCAATTTGTCCAAAGTGGGAGGGGTGGTAATTTTTTCCCTTTAATGTGGAATTTTATTGAGATTGATACAATGTTTGTGTAAAACAGAATAAAAGTTTTTACAGGAACTCAATGGTGTTCTCTGCTCTGCTTCCCTCCTGCAGCTTAATTGCTTACACGGAACAGTATGTGGAATACGATCCTATGATAACACCAGCCGAGCCGTCCAATCCCTGGATCAGTGATGATGTCACTTTATGGGACATAGAGATGAGGTAAAAAAAAAAAAAAAAAAAAAGTTTTAATGTTTGGGAATGAGAGAGATGTGGGAAAATGTGTGAGGTTATGAGATTTATCACTTGAACAGAAACCTCAAGTAACCTCACCACCAAGTGGTTTCTCTCTCCTTATAGCTTGGCTTGTACATGGATCCTTTGTGCCTTCCCTCTGACCTCTCTCTGACCATGCCAGAGGAAGGCATATATATATTAGACAGCAGCAACAGTAATAATATACTAAGTGTCTTACATGGAATCCCACAAGTAAACATTACTATTTTCACCATTGCATAGATGAGGAAACTGAGGCTCAGAGGAGTTAGTGAACTTGCTCAAGGTCACACAGCAAGCAGGTGGCAGAATGAGGATTGGACCCCAGGCAGAGGGCTTCAAGCTGTGGTTTTCACCATTGTTTCTGTGGAGTACCTGACAGGAGTGACTCCATCCAGTAGCTTCTCACTCCTGAGGAAAGCTAGTGTGTTTGCTTAATGGCTGAGGAGCTGAAGCCCAGAGGGACTTGGCCCATGTCCACAGTTGCAAAAGGAGAGACCTGGACAGATCTGGTGTGGATGCCTGGGCACCCTCAGCCCCTGTTCCTCATTTCTTTATATCTCTGTCATTCGCTTCCACTCTTGTTCTGTTTCTGGATTCTTAAAATGGAAAAAACTTATAAAAAGTAATGAGTCATAGGTGTTTATTATAAAACTAGAAGCCCAGTGCATAAAATTCATGCACAGGTAGAGTCCCTAGGCCTGGCCAGTGATCAGGGTTGATCAGGTTCCCTGCCTCCCTGCCTCTTCTTTCCCTCACTCCCTCAGTGTCCCACCTCTGCCACTGGTCACTTGTCATGTTCTATGCCACCCCCTGGTGATCAGTGCACATCATAGCAAGTAGTCAAACACCCATTCGCCCGGTCAAACTCCCAAGGGGACACTTTGCATATTAGCCTTTTATATATTATATATAGATGCTTAAACTAGTCAGACATACACAATAAAGAAAATCTCTCTTCCTCCAACCCATATCATTTTCTAGAAAGAACTTTGTTTATTGTCTAATGCCGTGGTTCCCAAACTGCATCAGTGTACCCTGAGCCCCTGCGGGAAACGAAATGACGTGTGACAGATGTCAGATGCTGCATCAACTATTAGTTAAGGTTGTTAAAGTTGTTCACTGTTTTCAACATTAGAGCCCATTCCATTCCCTCTAGGGTTTGCAAATCTGGGTTTTCAGAGCAGTTGGCTGTAATAAAAAGCAAGCGCTGTACAAAAATCAACATGGAGCAGGAAATGAGGGTGGTGAGGTCCAATCTGACTCCAACGTTTGAGAAGATGTGCAGTGCTCAACAACGCACATGTGTTTATATAAGAATGAAGCAAATATATTCATTGTTCTTCCAACTTATATGTACTTTCAGTAGCTACTAACTTGTTGGAACATAAATACATTTGAAGTTCTTTGGACCTGCCTTTTAAATAAATAAACATGTCCTGGACCAGTGGTCGGCAAACTCATTAGTCAACAGAGCCAAATATCAACAGTACAACGATTGAAATTACTTTTGAGAGCCAAACTTTTTAAACTTAAATTTCTTCTAACTCCACTTCTTCAAAATAGACTAACCCAGGCTGTGGTATTTTGTGGAAGAGCCACACTCAAAGGGCCAAAGAACCACATGTGGCTCGAGAGCCACAGTTTGCCAACCACGGCCCTGGACTGTTCCCTTTAATCTTATCCAAGAACTTAAATCTTTTTAACAGGTTGGTGTTCTTTTTTTCCATTTTTTAAATCACTGGTACTCTTTTTTCCATTCTGTCCTCTCTTTTCAGGAAATCTTTTTGTAAGAATTCTGGGCCTCTCGATGGAGCAGCTATTCTTATCTTTCCTCTACTACCCTTGTTATTCTCTCTTCAGGAATAGAATTCCTTGACTCACTCTTCAGAGTCACATTTTGTTTTCAATTATGTCCACTCTGTGATTTCATACTTTCCTGAGTTTTTCTTTTCCTACTGAGTGTTGGGAGGGGTGATGACAATCCTGCTCTTTTCATTTCTGCAAATTCCTAACATTTCTTTGGCTCCCTTTACTTAGTAGCTTGCTCTGTTCCATTGGTGGTGTTTCCCCTCATGAGATCCCCTGACGGTCTGATGTGTTTTGGGGTTTATTTGTTTTTTCACATTTCTCCTCAATTTCTGCAGCTCAGCCTGTTTTGCAGGGGTCGTTGATTGGAGAAGTGCTGTTTCCAGTCCATGTTTCATCATGCCGATCCCTATTCAGAGCACATAAGTCTTTGCATGTACCCAGCAATTTGGGTGACTGAAGGACTTAGCTTTCAGTTTGGGCCATAAATTAGAATCACCTGGAGCATTTTTTTTTTTTTTTTTTTTTTACATGCCAGTACCTACTTTCCACCCCAGACCAATTAACTCAGAATTTCTGGAAATGAGGCATTGGTTTTTGGTTTTGTTTTACATCCTCCCAAGTGATTCCAACGTGCAGCCCTGGTTCAGATGGACTATGTCAGGAGCTGGTGAGGGCTCCCTCAGCAATTGTGTGGGTCACTAGTTCTCAAAATACAGGTCGCATTAGAATCACCCAGGGTGCCCATTAAAAATACAGATGCGCTGGGGGTCTGTTTTCAGCAAGCTTCCTAGGCAATTTTGAGGCACAGAACAATCTGAAAATTCCTGGTGCAGTTCACAGAGTCTCACTCAGCATTGGTGTCCCTTCCTCAGAAAGGTCTTGTGACCACTCCATTTAGAGTAACCACCCCTTCCTCCCAGTCATTCCATATGACTTCATCCCCTTCCTCCCCCACCACCCCAATTCTCTTCCTAAATAGCACTTTAGGACTTAAAATTATTTTAGCACCTAGACCCAGATCGGGCACACAGTAGGCATTCAAAAAGTACAGGTTTGGTGGAGGATAGACAGAAAAGTGACTATTTCTTTGGTCACTTCATTGGTTATTTGGGAAAGGAGGAGAGATGAATACATGAACTTAGTTCCCGATAATAACCCTGGGATTTCCTCCTTCTTTCTTGAAAGTCAATGAAGAAGCATGTGATAGTTTGGGGAAATGGTGGCCACCTGACCTGTTGGTTTATTACAGCCTATCAGAGCTCTGTCCCCAGGTGGGTGCCCCCTGTCCCTACAACTAGTTCTCTGGTTCTGCTCTTATTGTTCAGATTTCTACTCTAATCTCGGTGCCTAGCCTAACACCTACAGCGTTCTGTCCACCTTCAAGCAGAAGCAGGTTATTGAGATACATGTGAACGTGAAGAGAGCCTGTGGAGGCCTGTTTCTTCTCCCCACTGGACATCCCCAGACACACTAATGTTGGCAGTGGCTGGGGACCTGTCTTTGGAAGAGCACAATTAGGGATCAGGGACAACATCCCACTTCAACTCGTCCATGGTTCCCATCCATGAAACAAAGGCTAGAGATGACCAGTAATATAAGCTTTTCTTCTTCTTCTTAGTTTAATGCAACAAATCTATTTTGTGAACCTACTACGTGCTACGTTCTGAGTTGGTAGATTAGCAGTAATGAGAGCCGGAGTCCTTTGGAGAGCCACCTGTCTTTGCTATGTGCTGGTTTGAGCTCCTCAGTGGGAGTCAGGAATTTGGGGAGATCGGGGGCATGGAGAACAAGGATGAGCTAGAAAAAGATATCTAGGTAGCAAGTAGAAAATACCTTCAGGATAATGTCACATCACCCACGTCACTACACACATCGTCTTACTGATTTCTTCCCAGTGTTGGACTTGCTGTGTAAAAAGCATGGTAGTGAATCAAAGGCACACAACACATGGTTTCTGCCCTCCAAGAGCTCAAGCGACAGCTGAACATAAACCCTTAAACAGCCAAATGATGATACAGAACCATAATAAAAACATTGCATAAGGAAGCATTTCTGCACAATGGATGGAAATAAAAGGGGCTGTGAGTTCCGGTGATTATTTGTTTGAATTGGGCCAAGAGAGAGTTATTGTACCAGTCACCTGGGAATAATTTTCAGAATTATTTTATAACCACAGAGATCATTCAGTAGTAGCAACATGTTCAGATTTGTTCTTGAACCTTAAAGGGGAAGATGTTTGGAAATACTCAAGCAATGCCAGCAACACACATCTAGAAAAGTTTCATCCCAAAAGCTTTTAATGGACTTGATTCCAATGGCCAGATGGACTTGCATCTAGGTATAGAAAAAGGATTGATTGTGAATAATGGATAGTTGATGTTCTAGGCTGAATAGTGTCACCCCAAAAATTCATGTTCTTCCCAGAACCTCCAAATATGACTTTGTTGGAAAATAGAGCTGTTGCCATGCAAGCAGTGAAGATGAGGCCACAGTGAAATAGGGTAGGCTCCTGCTCCATTATGACTGCAGTCTTTGTAAGAAGAGCAAACAGGGACACAGATGCACAGGGAGGATACCACATGAGGATGAAGGCAGAGACGGAGTGATGCATGTCAAGCCCAGGATGCCACGTATTGCTGGCCACACCAGAAGCTAACAGCCTCCAGAGAAAGCATGAGCCTGCCAACATCTTGATTTCAGACTTCTAGCCTCCAGAACTGCAAGAGAATAATTTTCTACTCTCTAAAGCCAGGCTGTTGGTCCTTTGTTACAACAGCCCTAGGAAACTACCACACGAGGGTATCCTGTCTCTCCAGACGTCCTTGTTTCTACTAAAGGCTGACTTTATAGCTTTCTGGACATCCCAACCTCTGTGCTAGGCCTCTGATTCTCCATCTAGCATGATACCCAAGCTTTCTGGCCCATACCCAAAATGGCCTTTCTCCCACTCCTGCCACCACCAATGAACCTGATGGAGGGAGTGAGGACTCCTAGATTGAGTTCCAGAAAGTAGAGGCACAGGTGGTGAGAATATGTCCAAGAGGCAATCACTACAAACACAGAGACTTTCAACACCTAGCCCTCAGGCACAGCCTTTGACGAGGATGCAACTGCCACCGGCACCATCCATGCAGACCCTGCGACCTTGGCAGGCAAAGAGCAGGTGCTTGAGCCCATCCTAGGCAACAACTTGACCCTGGCAGAAAGAGACAATATCCTGCAGCTCTGTGGGGCTTACATTTGCTGCTAGAGTCAACCCTATGGGGATCTTTTTTTCAATAGATTTTTTAATTGATTTCAGAGATGAAGGGCGAGGGAGAGATTAAGACATCAGGGATGAGAGAGAATCATTGATCGGCTGCCTTCTGCATGCCCTGCATTGGGGATCGAGCCCACAACCCAGGCGTGTGCCTTGACCTGGAATTAAACCATGACTTCCTGGTTCACAGGTCAACACTTAACCACTGAGCCATGCTGGCAGGGCAGGGGAGATTTCTTTATAAGCAGTACTTTTTGTCTCCTGGAACTGTGGTGAATTGGAGACAGATTGGTTCTGTGGCTTGAGTTTGAGAGAATCCAGGACCTGTCTTCTTGGTTTGTTCTAGAAAGCTCAACCTGGCATGTTGGAAGAGATCTTCTATGGAATTCCCAGTGGGTCACCTGGTCAATTTACTCTTCTCCTCTGACTCCTCTGGGCTAAGCCTAGAGATGCAGAGCTGTGCACAGAGGCATCCCGTGTCCAAGCACATAATTTCAGAATTAGACAGTCCTGCTGCTGCTGGTTATGTCTAGTGCAGAAACGAAGGGTTGGGCTTGAATTGTGCAAGTCCAGAGCTGTGCTTTCTAAAACAGTAGCCACTAGCCACATGTGGCCACTTCCATTTGAACTTTAATCATTTAAAGTTAAATATTCAGCTTCTTGATCACACTACCCAAGTTCTCAAGAACCATGTGTGCCTAGTGGCTACGTACTGGAGAGCACAGACATAGTATATTCCCATCATCACGGAAAGTTCAATTGGCAGTGCTGGTCTGGGGCTACTTGTTGTTCCAAACCTTTCAACATACATGCTTTTGTTCTCCTTTACTACGTGTAATTTTCTAAAATAAATATTGAGACTATGTCAACCCTATAACACAAGGAAATGATTTTATTGACTTAATGTCTGTTAGAAATAATGAAAAGCAAATGTCAATATTTTAAAAGAGAAAAAATAAGTATTGCTAGAGCAATGCCTCTCAGAGTTTAACTTAGATCTCCAGGGATCTTATTACCCTGCGGATTCTGATCCCATGAGTCTGAGATTGGGTGGCATTCCCCACAAGTCCACAGATCACTCTTTGGGAGATTCCAGCATGTGACTTGTGAACTAGGACTCTACTGCTTCTTAAAGGGTCAGGGGAATAAATATGGCAAGTGAAGTGTAAATGGAAAGACAGAATTGAAGGAAATATTTGCATCTTTCCAAACCAAAAGAATAAGACCAGCATCTTTCTCCCCCCAAACATCCCCGCCCACACCACGTGGGTCTGAGGAGGGTCACGTGGATGTGATGCCCACACAGAGTTAGGAGGTGCACTCTGGAGCCACACTGTCTGAACCTGAGACTTGACTTTCTTAGTGTCCTTGGGCAAATTGTCATGAGGCCTCAGTTTCCCTATCTGCCAAATGGGGTGAGGCCAGTACGTGCTTTACAGAGTAGTTGTGAGGGTTCAGTGAGTTAACAGATATGAAATTCCTAGAACATCATAAGCACCATGAGCAGATGGTTGTTAAAATTGATAAATGAACACAGCATCCTGCTTCTGAATGAGTGAGCAGGTTTTATCCTAGATGACTTGTTTCATTTCTGACCAATGACACCTCACTCGGATCTGAACAGGGCTCTGTTTCTTCCCAGAGGGTTGAGGAGGGGGTGAGAGGTGGGGACACTGTCTCTGATGAGTGGTTGGATTCACAAGGCATCCTCAGTTATTTAAAAAAAAAAAAAATGATGGAGTCAAGAGTTAGGCCAATCACTGACAGGGAAGCCGAATCAGTGGGGTTGTACCTCCTGTGGACAGGAGCCAGTCGGCACACCTCCTGGTGAACCTACCCTAATGCCTTCCTTAAAGAGACTCTTTACCACTGGCTGATGTTGGTATACAGAAGTCTACAATTAGGGTTCGTACTGTCACTTAAATTTGTGGAATTTCTTTTTGATGTGCAGCAGCAAAATAGATTTGACTTGCTGGAGAGAATGTGACACTGGTTTTTGCCAGATATTGATCACTTTTTAAACCTTTGTTTCCCCCCAAAAGCAAAGAGCCCAGCCAGCAGCGAGTAAAGAGATGGGGCTTCTCTTTCGATGAGATGTTGAAGGACCAGGTGGGACGGGACCAGTTTCTACGCTTCCTGGAGTCGGAATTCAGTTCAGAAAACCTCAGGTAAATCTCTCAAAGATTTGAGCTGTGGGTGAAGGAATTTGCATAATCATCCTCTCTTTCTGCCTCCCTGTTTCAATAAAATGTTAGGGTTCAAACAAATTCCAGCTGATCTGTGGAAGGTTGAAATGGAGACAAACTATATGTAGATTGGCTGTCACCATATATTAGCACCTACAACATCAGCATTTATTGTTGTTCAAGTCCAGATGGCATTTCCTCAAGTTATTGGAAACATGCCTCTAATAACAAGTAGACAGGCAAATGGATTTGATGACACCACCATTTAACTAGAACCGTAGAGCCAGCCCAGTTGGCATGACTCAGTGGTTGAGTGTCAACCTATGAACTAGGAGGCCATGGTTCAATTCCCATCAGGGCACATGCCCGGGTTGTGGGCTCAGTCCCCAGTGGGGGATGTGCAGGAGGCAGCCAATCAATTATTCTCTCTTATCATTGATGTTTCTATCTCTCTCCCTATCACTTCCTCTCTGAAATCAATAAAAATATATTTAAAAAAAATAAAGTAAAACTACAGAGCCAGGGTGTTTCAGAGGAAAGACAGTGCAGACACCCTCTCCTGAATTTCCCAAGTCTGGGATCCTGAATATTTGACAGGCCAACCAGAACAAAAAGGGAGAGAGAAACATCAATCTTGTCTCAGCATTTCAAAAAGCAAGAGCAAATATCACTCATTCACTGCAGACGTAACTGCAAAAACTCATTAACACCTGAGCTTTTCTTTTGGGGGACAGCTATCAACTCGTGTGGTTATCCTGGTCACCTGATGTGAGTGGAACATCTCATTGTGACTATTGGACTAGGACATCAAGATAAGGGAAAATGTACTAATGTATTAATCACTACTACTCTGAAGAAAACATAAGGCTTCCGAAAGGTGAGATCCACTGAGAGAGGAAGGGAAGGGGGTGCATTAAAAAGGAAAGGACTCATGATTATGAAAAATTGAGAACTTGTGTTTTATTCAGGTTTTCGTTGTATTCCATATAGAAGCACAGACCTACGGAATATGTAACTTATGAAAGACCCATTAGTGGTCTTAGCCAACTGGTGACATCTCAGTGGGAAGATGGAATTCCCCGTTTTCTTGGTGCCAGGTTCTCCCTTTTAGGCAGGTTAATTCCCATTTTCCAATGGCCTTGTTTCAAGGCTTTAACTTTTTATTTTTTTAATTGATTTTTTACAGAGAGGAAGAGAGAGGGATAGAGAGTTAGAAACATCGATGAGGGAGAATCATCAATCAGCTGCCTCTTGCACACCTCCTACTGGGGATGTGGCCGCAACCAAGGTACATTGAACCTGGGACCTTTCAGTCCACAGGCTGACGCTCTATCCACTGAGCCAAACCAGTTTTGGCTCAAGGCTTTAACTTTCAAAAAGGTTTTTGAACTTTGAAAAGTTAGAGCATGTACGGTGGGTAAAAATCTGTCTGCTGCAGTGTTCATGTGCAAAGCCCCTCTGATTTATTTGGAGTGAGAGACCATATCAGTCCCATACATCAATCAAATTAGATTTACTACACACCTCTGCCCTAGCAAGCCCCACGGACATCTCTGAGGGAAGCCGGGAAGGCAAGATGCATGATCTTCGCCTGCAACAACCTTTGTAGGTTGCCGAGGAAAGGACACGGAAAACTCTGACATCATGAGATGAATATAAACAAGTATAAACTCTAAGAACCGAGTTAGAAGTGTTTTGAAAGGGAGGGATGAATACAAGCCAGAGTAGATGAATAGGATACTGACAGAGGAAAAAGGAAGAGAGAGAACTCTAAGCTGATGACCCTCTGACCCATAAAGACTTGGGAGAACTTGTAGATGGCAATTAACTGTATGTCTCCATGCCTCTCCAGGCAGCCATGTCCCTATTGTAAACCAGATAAGGCTGAGTAACTGTTTCGGCTTATGACACGAGTTCCTTCCTTGCTGAGGCATTGCACTGAATGCGTCTCAGAGCTTTGCTTCAGTTCCAAATTGGGTGCTTGTAATGGAAGACTGGACATTAAACCTTATGTGGGGTGAGGTCCAGACCAGCCTCGCAGGCTGTGTTGGGATGAAGGTCCTGCATGGAAAGCCATGCCCTCTGTGGCCAGCTGAGACATCCAGGCAGCTGCTCTGTGTGGCCACTTCAGCCCCAGATTCCAACCCCAGCCGGGTCCCCATGAGTCACCCCTGAAGTCCTTTCCATCTCCCCTTCTCATGCTGTCCTCCCCTCCCCCGTGGGTCCTCAAGATAGAGTGGTCCAGAGGCCTCCTTTCCCTGACTATCTCTCGGCCCGAGAGTGGCCCTATGACCCTCTGCCACCTGCACCGTTACAGAGACTTTGAAGAATGGCCACAGGATCCTGGTCATTGTGTGGGGCCAAGGAGCAGGAGGCCTGTGGCTCGGCACCACTTTGTCCACGCCGAGTGTAGCCACACCCGCCTAACAGTTCGGCTAGTTTCCCAATGCATCATGTTGCAGGCCCAGCGTGCGTAGAGGAGTGTGTGCCTGGCAGATGTTCAGCGCGTCCGCCTGCCGTTACCTCTGCGCCTCTGCCAGCCGCTTCCTCCCGCGCCAGGAGGGCTGCACTCAGCCTGGGGAGAGAGTGTGTGCGAGCACGCAGAAGCGTGCCGGTGACTGATCTCCATTGCATGCATAAATCCAGACTTAGGGAGGGGCCCCTCTGATCCCTGTCAAGGGAGAGGACAAAGAAAATATAGAATAGCCAGAGATGAATAGCATGGGCCAACAGCTTCTAAATCCTCTCCAGAGGTCCGAATTCCACTTTCATGATACTCAGCATAATTGGATATATGGAGCGAAGCTCAGTTTTCAATCACACAACTTCAGGACTCATCACCAGGCAGTTTTTCTCCTGCCTTTGTGTTGGCTTAGCACCTGCCCTGACCCAGGTCCTGAGGACTGGGTGCTAAATCAGTTTAACCCTGAGCAGGGTGCACCTCCGTGTGGGCCGTGAGAATGGCAGCGCCCGGAGCTGTGCAGATGGCACAGCTCGGAGATCCTGTTCATCCGCTGTGTTGGCCATGCCAGGCTCAGCCCTGCTCCCCAGGATTGGTCAGGATCCCAGGCAACTGGCATTGGAACCTGTGAGGAGAGAGAGAGAGAGAGAGAGAGAGAGAGAGAGAGAGAGAGAGAGACCAGAATGCACCTGGATGCATTGCAAAGGGCCCCTTAGCCTGGCTTGCTGTGCTCGCCAGCGTCTCTCCAGGGAAAGGGGCGCTGGGATCACAACATCTTCGCACAGCATCCGGGGTGCCCATACAGGAGCCTGAGGGCCGAACTTACACCAGAGCTTCAGAATGCAGAACAGAGGACTCCAAAGAGACACACAGTCTCTGTCACACAGTCCTTTAGGGGTCACCTGGTCCTTTAAGGAAAGATGTCTGTGGGGGTGAGTGGGGAGGGAGGAGAGCCTAGCTCAGGGCCTGCAGGGGTGGCCGGCACATTTTGCTCTGACAGCGCATGGGACAGCACACTCCCCGTGGCACCCGGAGCAGAGCTCAGGCTCCGTTTGGACTGGGAGGGCCCTGGACACAGCTGTTTGTTCCGGGCTTTTGGAAAGCAGGTGGCCTCTTCCCTGCGCCCCATCCCAGTGCTGAAGGAGGGACTTCCTGGGAGTTAGCTGAGGCCGCCCTTCTCCCTTCTCTGCGCTTTCCCAGAGTGACGACAGGAGCCTTTGTCCCTTTTCCATCTTCCCTGCACAAACCTTTGTCCTCCCCGGCGCCACACCTTCCGCCACACGGCAGGGCAGGAGTTAACAGTCAGACCCCGCAGCAGAGAGCGTCCCCCGTACATTTTTTATGAGCTGTGCCGCCTCCGGAGAGAGCGGGGTTGCTCTTCTGAGCTGCAGATTGATTATCCCGGTTCCACGCGGTGTCAGCTGAGGGGAGAAGCAATTAAACAGAGCGCGGGGGAGTCGCCAGGTCTGCGTCGAGAGCCCCCCTCTCCGACGCCGGCCCCCCGGTCCTGGAAAGACCTCGGAAGGTTCACCAGGCCCAGTGGGATTCACCGCTAACCAAACACATGGTTCATCGGGACAGAGGTGACTCCCGCCACGCCGGAACAATCTGTGGCAGCTCAGCCACTGCCTGGTGAACGTAACTGTGCTTCTGGGGGGTGTGCCAGGGCCTCCCCAATGTTGGCACCAGGTAGTTGCCACCAAACACCGAAGTCAAATTGGACCCTGGTTCCCCAGTTTCTGGCCAGCAGAGGGCACAGAAGCCCTGAGTTTGCATGGAGTTTGCTTTTCTCTGCAAACCAATTGAACTGGGTTTTTCTAACCCACAAATATGCTAGTTTGTGAAAAGCTGTGTAAGCTAGGAATGGGGCCTGCCCAGAGCCCCTGGCAGGAGGGAGAATGGTTTTTCTTGTTCCAGCCACGAGGAGAAAAGCCGTTGCCATCAGCATTCAGACTGTGGGCTGGTCCAGGCTCTGCTCAGCCCAGTGGTGCCTGAGCCCAGGCCGCCTGCCCACAGAGCCCAGTGTCCGCCCGCCGCCTGCCCGCATTCCTCAGCCATGGGCACAGGTCACATGCGGGCACACGGGCTGCCTGCCTGCGCCCTGAGGATGGGACGAGGCAGGACAGGTGGCCTCCCTGACAACAGTCCCGCCAGCCCTTCTGCTGCCCACCACAGGCTCAGCGCAGGATTGGATGCCATGGCCGACAGCCGCCTCCCGCTGGCACCCTGGAGGGGCATCGGTACCTGCAGGCTTTTGATAAGAGCAGAAGCTGCGCAGCCTCCGTGAGCCTCCCAGCTGCAGCCCAGGTGCGGAGGGAGCTGCTGGCTCTTCCGAGGACACTGGCTGGGCAGCCGGCTCAGAGCTGCAGCTCAGCCGTGGGCTTGCAGATGGCAAATGCAAACCAAAGCCTGCTCTGAATTCCAAATTGACACAAAGCTTCTTCAGAGCCGGTGCTGGCAGACACACATGGGGTGTCAGGATGCTGCTGTGGCAGCATTCTTGCCGTGACTTCAGAGGGATAAGGCGGGTCATCTCCAAGGCAGACGGAAGTCCCACAGGGTCTCCATGTGCGGAGGAGAGGAAACGGCTGCCTAGGGATGTCATCCCCCGACTCCTCCTCTCCCGGATTCTCTTCCTCTTCTTCCTCCTCCTCTTCTTCTCCTCCTCTCCTCTTCTCCTTTCCTCATTCTTTTCCTCTTCTTCTTTTTCTACCTCCTCCCTCTTTCCTCCCACTTCCCCTTCTCCCTCTCTTTCCTCTCCTCCCTCTTTTCCTCCTAAACCTGTTCTTTCTCCTCCCTCCATGTCTTCTTCCTCCTCCTCCTTCTCCCTTCTCACCCTCCTCCTCTCTTTCTGGCCCCTCCTCCTCCATGCTTGTTGTTTCTTCTTGTACTATTTTTTAATCCTTATTTTTACCCTAACGATGGGAATCCTCTCATTTTTAATGTAAAAGTTGATTGCATTTGATTCTGAAATTTCCATTTACATCAGCTGCAGACCCTCTGGGTCACATGTGTCAAACACAAGGCCCGCGGGCCAAATCCGTCCCGCCAGGCCTTGCAATGTGGCCCGCATCGCGCTGTCATCACTGCACTCCGCTGCGTTTCCATCACAATGACAGTTTATGACTGTTCAGTAAACCATTCGGCCCGCGATTTAGGCTGGATTTTAGATTTTGGCCCCTTCTCTGATTGAGTTCAACACCCCTACTCTGGGTGATGTGCATTAATGTGGTGCCTGCATCATTCTGCAAAAGGAACTTAGGCCTCGGGAACACGGCGCCTGCAAAGCTCTGAAGTGCTGGCTCCTCAGGGCCTTCCCGGAGGGCTCGGTGGCTCCCCTCAGAGCAGCCTACAGAAGGGGGCAGGAGACAGCAGCAGGGAGCCATTGACGGAGGGAACAGGAATTGCCCGGTAGCATCCATCTGTGTGAGAGATGAAGGTCTGGTAGGCTCCGAAGGACACTGGTCCCGAGAAGTGGCCTCCAGCCCAGGAACTCGTCCCAAAGGTGACTCACTGACAGAGGCCCTTCTCCCCTCTGCCCTGCACATTCCTGCAATTGCTTGGTCCTTGCTGAGCTGCCTGTTCACCATCCCCGCCCTCCGGTCCTTTGAAATGCCAACAGCAGCTGCTGCTGTAGAGCTGGGTCCCTGTGCTCTCTTACCTGCTCATCCAACACTCCCCTCCGGGTGGAGAAAGACTGTGCTGTCACCACCCAATGACCGTTTCACCTTTATGCACTCGGCCACCTCCTTCATTTACGGCAGGCCCAGGGGTGGGGCAGGGAGACCTAAGGAACCTGGGGGATGGCCAGGGGAAGGAGACCCACTCTCCAGATGGTTTTTAGGGCCTACCTGCACAGCTGAGCAGGGTTACAGCTCCTTTCCGCCCCACCCACTTCTGCCTCTGGTCTCTGGTCAGAGAGCTACCCCCATTCTCCTCTTGCCTGGCCGTCAGAAGGCATGTGCACCAAGACCCGCGGCAGGAAGGAAGAGGCTGGTGTTGGTGGGCAGGTGACAACATGAGCCCCAGGCAGCTCTGCCCAGGTGCTGGAGAAGAAAGGTGACATTTGAGGGATCATACTGGCCAGTGTTGACCCTGTGGCCACCACACTGACCCCTCCACAGCTCCCACCCTCAGGACCTGACCGCATTTCAGACTTACACCTGGATGGAAAATCCTTCAAACACGTGTCACAGATTTATTCATCCATTTCGTACCCATTTTACAAGTGAGGGAAGAGACACCTGGAAAGATGCATTCTAAGATAGCAGCATAGCCAGGATGGGGACAGAATTGTGCTTCCTCATCTTTCGATTGAGCGAAGCCATAAGTCCCCTTCCCTGCCTTTCACTCGTGCTCTTCAGAGTCACTAAGGGAACCAGGAGGGTTTCCTCACGGAGATTATTAGAATCCCAAACAGTAAATGGGAGAAGATTTCTATGTATCGATAATAACAGAACTAACGCGCACACCTGTCTTCTCTCCTTGTGGAAATGGAGCTGCATTACCGCAGTTGGCCACTAAGTGGTGCCTTTGGGCCGCACACTTGGCTGCAAAGACCATCTGTGAACAGCAACAGAAAAACACGTTTAACCTTTGAAAAAAGAAGTACATCTTACTTTGGGTGAAATCCGATGACAGATTGAATGCGTTTTCCACCATGTTGTGTTTCAGTTCTCTTGTCCCAGCCCTTCCGTCGGCTCAACTGTGTGTGATGCCTGTGGCTGTGGGAGTCAAGTGGCCGGGGTCCTGTCCTCAGGTTACGTCGATGTGGAGCCCGGCCTTGTCTTATTCACAGGACACCTAGTGTGCCACCCACACCTGAGCCCTGGGGAAACCATCTTAGGAGCTATTGCTCAAGCTTTGGCTCTGGTTGCTGCTGCTCTCGGCAACAAAGAGCTCACACCCAGCACCCCCAGTGGTCGCTGCCATTGAGGGGCTTGTGAGAGGTGATATGGAAGTGACCATGGAGAATCTTCTGGCAGAAATTCCCCATGTACGCCCCTTCCGCTTTGTTCCAGATGAGCTTGCCCTCCATCCGCAGCCCTTTACTGAGTGTCTACTATAAGCTCACACCATGCTGGGAATCAACTCCTCTGTAACAGGAAGAGCTGTATCCTACCAGCTCCGATATTCTTTAGAATTCCAAGATTCCGTTTCTGTGATCTTTCCTTCATTTTGATGAGTCTACTAATGGACCCCAACCAGATGTGACAAAGGAACTCACTTTTGTCTGTGTCCTGGCATCTATGTAGAAACTGTGGTTCCCAGCCAGAGGTGACTTCACCTCCCAGGGGACATGTGGTAATGTCTGGAAACATTTTTAGTTGTTACATCTCGGGGAGGGGATGCCACTGGCACCTGGTGAGTAGAGGTCAAGGTTGCTGCTAACCATCCTACAGTGCACAGGGCAAGCCTCACAATAAGGAATTATCCTGCTCTCAAAGGCAACAGCACTGTGGTTGGGAAACCGTGATGTGGAAGGAGAGAAATCTCTCCTTGGTAACCAGAGCACAACGACCTTCTCACGTGTACTTCTTTCCGCTTATCCACAATAGCATAGCACTGTCTGTATGTTCAGAGCAGTCCCTACGGCCTTTGTTACCTGGGCAGTGGCCACGAGGAAGAGTGGAAGGTGCAGCAGAATGAGTCTCATAGATGTCATCGCTCAGGCCACGCCCAGCAGAGCCCAGATGCTAAGCCCCCTGGAACTGACTGTCTCTCTACTTCTGCTTCAGGTTCTGGCTGGCTGTCCAAGACCTCAAGAAACAACCCCTACAGGATGTGGCCAAGAGGGTGGAAGAGATCTGGCAAGAGTTTCTGTCTCCCGGGGCCCCAAGTGCAATCAACCTGGATTCTCACAGCTATGAGATTACCAGTCAAAACGTCAAAGATGGAGGGAGATACACATATGAAGATGCCCAGGTTTGCTTATCTATTTAAGTCGTTATATCCAAAGGTGTTCATTTGTCCTCTCTACCACCCCACCCTTTAACACGAGTTCCAGGCATGTGTTTAGTTTGAATTCCAGGTTTTATTATTTATGAGGCCATCCGTGGAAACCATCCCAGGTAGGTGCACAGTGGAATTCCAGGAGGATAGTTTTCATACGTGTATTACATTATTACCTAGAAATAGAAACTTACTGTTACAGGCAATCTTCGGGTTACGCTGGACTCGATGTATTAATACATCGTTTCGTGGTTACATCGCCATCACCCACTTATTTATAAAAAAAAAAAAAAAAAAAAAAAAAAAAAAAAAAAGTTCTGTCATTTCGATGTATGTACACATGAGCTTAATGTTTTTTATTATTTACCACAAATGTCCTGGTGGTTAGAGAGCCACCCCCACTCTCCTCTCTCCTGACAATCAGAAGGCATGTTATCTTTAATTTTTTTTTTTTACTGTTTCACCCCATTACTGCTGTGTGTGTGCTCCATGTGAGTGACGTAGATGCTTATGTAGGTGGTTTCCGACTTACGGCGAAAATTGCTTTATATCACGCTGTAGGAACAGATCTCCGATGTAATCTGAGGACCTACTGTATATGTATTATATTTTTCAGGGATTCTTGGTGTTTTACAAAATTTAAGTCCTGTAGTATCATAAGTCAGTGGTAGAATCCATAACACAAATCATCAAAGTGGGTAGAGTAAGCTGATAGGGCCATGGGTCATGCCCACATCCAATCATAAAGCTCACACTCCTAACCACCTCCTACACTGCGCCCTTAGTGATCTCCAACTATAGTAGTCCCCCCTTATTCTCAGGGGATATATTCCAAAATCCCCAGTGAATGCCTGAAACCGCATATGGTAACAAATCCTATGCTTTGTCCTATATATAAATACTATGATAAAGTTTAATTTATAAGTTAGACATAGTAAGAGATTAACAATCTATCCTATATAATAAAAGGTAATATGCAAATAGACCGAACAGCAGAACAACTGAACAACCAATCAAAGCATAATATACTAATGATATGCTAAAGCTGTGCAGCCGCTCTCTGTTACATGCACTTACCACCAAGGGGCAGATAGTCAACTGGACGATCGCTCCCTATGACATGCACTGACCACCAGGGTGCAGATGCTCTGACCCATAGGTTAGCTTGCTGGGGTCTGGCCTATTAGAACTGAGTGAGATAGGCTGGACACACCATGAAGCTCTCCCACAGCCCCTCCCCAGCCCGATCCTGCACTGGTGGGGTCCTTCAGCCTGACCTGTGCCCTCTCGCAATCCAGGACCCCTCGGGAGAGATCAGAGAGCTGGTTTCAGCCCAATCCCATAGGCCACTCCCCTTGGGAGGGTGCCAGATGCAGAGCTCATGGCTGGCCAGCACTGCCATGGCAGCACAGGTCTCTCTCCATCAGGACTGATTGGGCGCAAGCCCACAACAGGCACAGTGGAGCTGGGATGAGTGGGGGCTACAGATAGGAGCTACAGGTGGCATTGGACTGTGGGTTTTGGCCCAGTCCCTGCAGGCCACCAGAGGGATCCCACCCATGCATGAATTTGTGCAGTGTGCCTCTCGTATATGTATAAAAGCCAAGCAACTGCAACAACTGGAACTGGAATGACCGGTCACTATGAAGCACACTGAGGAGGCCAACTGGCTCAATTGGGGCTCCAATCAGCCCCACACAACTACCTGTGGACCCTCTCCCTGGCCATTCCCAATTGGCTGCCCAGACACACCAATAAGGAGCAGGGCCAGGCAGCTGACCTCCCACAATTGCCCCCCCCCCCCCCCACCAGCCCAGCCCCCATCCGGCCCTGATCAGGGGTGGGGCCAGTGGTCAACCCCCGCCCCCCACCACCACCAGCTGACCTGATCGGCCCCCATCAGGGTGGACCAGGTGGGCCCCACTCGTTCACAAATTCGTGCAGCAGGCCTCTAGTAATTAATAATAGGACAATTCTAATAATATACTATACTAAAAGGTATGTGAATGTGTACTCACATGTTCTCTCTCTCTCTCTCCAGTAATGTTTATAGTTCTTAATCTTACCTATTACTGAATGTGTGACACTATGCCATTGCAATAAATGGCTTGGTGTCACTCGTTTTGAGAGAATTCCTTGCTCAGATCTTTACCTTGGCTCAACACCTGTCGCCAACTAAAACATGCTTTCTGTTCATGTCTTCCATTCACAAAAACAACGCCTTTCCCAGCTAACTTGCTCCTATCACACACTGTGGTGGTGCATTTCATAATTTGAGGTGCAACAGCCAAACAAGCATGAATTTCTTTCTCCTTTCACCATTGCATCATAGATCTTAGCAGCCTCTGGATAGAAACCTTTTTTCTTTCCCTTTAAGGTGAGAATTTTCACCTTTTCACTGAAAGGAAGCACTTTGCGGCTTCTCTTTGGCACATCCGAGTTGCCGGCATCCCCACTCTTTCGCTTTCAGGCCATAATTAAGTGAAAGGAGGGTGGCCTGAACACAATCTCTCCGATACCAGAACCATCTATTGAATACTGGAGACGGTTACTGAGTGCCTACAGGCGAGGAATGACCACAGCGTGGGGATGCCGGGCAGCGTGGTCATTGACGTCCCCGTGGAATGGAGTCGGACAAAGTAAAACTCCATCACGCTGCTCAGGACAGTGACAATGCAACACTTAGGAACTGTTTGTTTCTGGAATTTCCCATTTAATATGTTCAGCCCACAGGTGACCACAGGTAACACAACTGCAGAAAGCAAAACCGCAGGTAAAGGGCGGGGGTGGGGGTCAACACTGATGTCCGTGAGAGGACAGATGGCTTGGATTCTCTGTGGGATCCGCAGGTAAGCGAAGTGAAGAGAGTTGAGGAGATAAAACCTTAGCCCTGTCACTGGGTATAGGGAGGAAGGAGGAAATAGAAGTAGGGGCCAGAAAATAAGGAACTGACTTGATGCTTATTGTTAGACGTGGCGCCGCCCAGCCTCCCTGGCAGTTTGGGATGACATCTGTGGCTTCTGTTTCTTTCCCAGCCTCGCCGCCATCTGTGCGCTAATGTGCAGGGGTACAGGGTAGGAGGAGCCCCCTGGGCTTCCTTGCATCCTACCGGCACCTCACCCTTTGGTGAAATTATTTGTCATTTTCCCCTACTAGCCTGTCATCGCCTGGAGGGCAGGGCCTTTTTGTCGTTCTCTGTGGTGACTTATCACATTGCACAGGGCCTGGAATAGAGAGGTGCTCCCCAAATAGTAACCACAGACAGTAGCATCCCCAGATCCGGAGCTTCCCTTCCACAGTTTCAGTTACCTTCAGTCAACCATGGTCCTAAAATATTGAACAGAAAATTCCAGAAATAAACAACTCATACGGTTTCAATTGTGTGCCCTTCTGAGAAACAAGATGAAATCTCGTGCCCTCCTACTCCGTCCCATCCAGGATTCATCCCTTTGCTCAGCACGTGCACACATTACAGATTCCCCATTCATTAGTCACTGTATAACTGTCCTCAGTTATCAGGTCAACTTGCATGGTATCACAGAGCTTGTGTTCAAGTCACCCTTATTTTACTTATTAAATGGCCCCCAAGTGTAGCAGTAGTGATGTTGACAATTCAGACTTGCCACAGAGAAATCGCTAAGTGCTTCCTTTAAGTAAAAAGTTCTCCACTTAATAAAGAAAAGAAAGGAAAGGAAAAACCATCGTATGCTGAAGTTGCTAAGATCTAAGGTAAGAATGCAACTTCTATCTGTGAAATGGTGAAGGAAAAAAAAAACTCTTTTTGCTGTTGCACCTCAAGTTGCGCAATGTGTGGTCAGTGCTTAGTTGAGATGGAACAGGCATCGGGTCTGTGGGTGGAAGACATGAACAGAAATCATGTTGATGGCAACGTGTTGCACCAGAAAGCGTGAGTGGTATGAATACTTCAGCAAGGGACCCCCTCAAACAAGTCACAGGGAGCCATTTACTGCAAGTGAAGAGTGGGCACACAAAGTCAGGAATAGGTTTGGACAAAAAAATACAAAACTTACCAGGGAGGCTGCGTCTAAGGGTGAAGAAGCTGCAGCCCTATTTCCAACAGGGCTGAAGAAGTTGACTGGGGTTTCTTACTATCCATGGATTCAGACATCCACTAGGGGCCTTGGAATGTGTCCCCTCCATGGGGTTACTGTATTATCAAATTTAGGAAACTCAGAGACACCGATGCGAATAATGCCATGAAAACACAACCAGTGGCCCCGTTGATCCAGACTTGCCTTGTCGTTTGCTTAGAACTTCAGGATGGAAACACCCACCAACCTCAACACTTTTTTTTCTTTCTCCCTGGTCATGAACTCCAGTGAATGCTTGTGCCAGGGAGATTTTGTTCTGTGGAGTTCATTGTCTTTGCATGAAGTCCCCAGTCCCCCATATCCTTTGCAGCCTCAAAGCAAAATATTTGTCATGAGAAATATTTTTGGGGGGATGGATTTATTTATATGTACGTATGTAGGCTCCTAAGCACATACTGACCTATCCTGATGAGGAGAAGGATGGAGACCCCTCCCTAAAAGCTAAAGCACAAAGCTCAACCCTTCATTATTCCTGAAATATTAGGGAAGGAATACTGGTGAGAACTATGATGCACTAAGCCTTGGTATTATCTCTCTGAGCATGACACTAGGAAGGATTTATTTGAATGTTTTATGGTGAAACTTGTAAATGTTGGAACGTGAAAAGAGCAGAGCAACAAATCTTTATGGACCCCCTTCTAGCCACAGCATCAATACAAGACTGACCTCATTCTGTGTTCCCCCCTGCTTTTTTCACCCACCACTGGGTGATTTTAAAGCAAATTTAAATATATATGTATTCACATATATAAACCAAGATATTATATAATTTTATTGTAAATACTTAGGCATGTATCCCTAAGAGAAACTGACCCTATCGTTTAATTACCACAATACCATTATCACATCTCAACAAATTAG